TTATTATAGCAGTCCCCTCTTTTTGAAAAGGAGTCGTTTTACTAGAGCATTTTTGTATTTTGAGAGGGGAATATATGGGAAAGCAGCTACTGTCACAAGTATATTCATGTATATTCTGGGTGATCTTGCTGCTGCCAGTTGGCAAGCGATTGCTGCAGTCCTGCAACCGGTTTTCGGTCACCAAGTGGTTGCAGACAGGTTGTTTATCGCTCGTCAAACAGTGTGCGACTTGTAACCTATAACCTGAAGATGTCTACAAGAGGTTGCAGATACCATACTGCAACCTTGTTGCAACCGGTTTGCGACTGCTTGCCGATCAAAATTGGCCATAGCTTCTTAATTAGCTTGCAAAGTGATCGCAAGCGACCGCCAGATTTTGTGGTTGCAAAAAGGTTGCAAAAAGGTCGCAAGTGCAGTGTGACCGGGCCTTAAGGTAGCAACATTACGGAAGAGGTATTTATCTAGTCTTAAAGCACGTGCTACATAAAGGGAAGTCATCACAGGTATAGATGGAACATGGTTTGAAACGTATAAGCATACTGTTAGTGTTATTAACAGGATGTATGAAAAGGTTCATTACATATTAGTGTCCGACAAGAGACGTTCCTCCAAACTAGTGTGCAAGTTTAATTTCACCAATTCACAATATAGGAACTGCACAATATAGGAACGACCTTAATTGTCTGGGTGGTACGCCTCCTCAAGAAGCTAGGGGGGTAATTAACAAGCGTGTGTTGATAAACTCTTTTCACTGATTGCACTTCAAGAATGTGTTGCTGAATAATATTACTGACAATGCACTCTTGCCACAGCTCGTTTACACGTCGATACATGGCTAAAAAGGCAAAGAAAAAGCGAATCCCGCTGCAGAGAGTATTTCGATACTTACGCATGTCACAATATGGCCCAGTATAACCTGGCGGACAGACACATTTGAATGACTCCGCTGTCTCCACACAGGTGCCTCCGTTTGGGCATGTGACATAATCACAATTGAGCAGGACATCTGCAAAACAAATGGAATGTAAAAACAAAATATCCGTCTGTCACATGAATTAAGAAAAATATAACGGAGGTTTCCAATAAGCATGCATATAAACATTATCATGGAAATTTTATTGTACATTAACTCCCCACAGATTTCGTTTTTGACCTGACTCATACCAAAACGGCACCAGGTGAAACCTAGCTCTCTCCATGGAGACGGCAATTGTGTACTTACGCTTTTCACAATATTCCCCTTGTTGTTTTGGAGGACAGATACACATGTAGTTTTCATCTGTTTCCTGACATAAACCTCCGTTCTGGCAAGGATTTGAATTACATCCGCTGACGTCTGCAAAATAATAATAAAAACTTAATAAATAAATAACAAAGCACAGATCCTTTGGGCAGCTTGTCTTTGTTTATAGTTTTAATGATGTTTATTATTCATAGTTTTTTTTTTGTTAAAATTCTGCTTAAGACACACACAATGTTTGCCAGATCATTCCACTCAAACATGCAATGAAGATCAAGAAAATCATGAAAAAAAATCGTATTGATTATCTATGCACTATCATTATGTCTCGTTTTCATTTTAAGCTACGGCAAACTTTTTGACAAATTTTGAAAACCGTTTATCAGTAGGGCACAATATTATCGTAGGTTACCTTGCACAGTTTCCGTGCGGGGATTGTTCGGTGGACTTGCGGTAATCGTGATAATGTTTGAACCTGTTGTAGATATCTTTTCCTTTCAGCTTTGGTGGTTTTAGGAGGCATAACAATAGGATCTTTTGCTGTCACGATTTGAAGTTTTGCGCTTCCTCGTTGTGACCACATGTGTGCTAAAATCGTAATGATCTGCACCGAAAAACGTTCATTTCTTGAATGAAGCCGCACAGAAGGCGTACAGCAACTGCACTGAGACTGAAAGGGCTCAATACGATCACTTTTAAACAGAGAAGTCGATTTTTTCCCTTCGTAATCTCAATGACATGTCGGCTGAATGACGTGGCAACCGCACGTGATGTAAATTAAACGTTGCCCGCACTGAAAATGGTTAACAATTTCATCGTACAACGTGATGAATTATTATTATTATAAGTATTCGTATTATTATTATTGTTTGTATCAGTAGTAGTTGTTGTAGTCATGGTAGTTGATTAGATATAACTTTATATTGTCACTGTTTTATATTCTGATGAGCCGTAGGGCTTAACGGTTTAATAAATTGAAATTGAAACGTCTGTGGCAAATATAATCCACGCTTGAGATAAACTTTTCTTGAAGTTTGCGAATTTTTACAATAAAGCACATTAGCTGTAACGAATGGCTACATGCAACGTGCATGGTAGGGAGGGCAGCATCCGATTCGTTAGAATGCGTGAAGTACTGGTAATTGCTTTTATTGACTTCTGTCAAATGTGAATTTTGACAGTGGATAGCTCCACTTGGCCAAGGCCTTCTATGTGTATACAAACAAATGACCACATTTACACTATGTACATTACATTGTGTTTACCTTCAGGTTCTCCCGTCATAGTCATTGCAGTCACATCTTCAGCTAACTTAATGCTTACGTAGAAAATAAAGATGAGATTAAAAACCTGCGCCATGGTTGCACTCAGCGTCTCTCCCTCTCTGCGTCTCGGCAAAACGGATTTTATAGCGCATTCAAGAGCTTATACGAAGATCAAGGACATCTCTGGAAAACCACCTCAAATATAACCAACCACAATTACATGTATATACCGTTGAATCATCCTAACGTAACATTACCACACATTTATATTAATTAAAAGAAAATGAGACATTCAAGCACTTGCATAAAAAAAATTATTGAAATAAAAATAAGAATAAAGTGAGTCGCTCAGTTGGGGCGTGTCTTATCGTGGTCTACGGCAGAGTACGTCATCTAGAGTGAGGCTAGGCATTATCCAAGCCCAGACAATGGAGATTTTCCGGTCGGTGACGGAACGGTTCGAATATATTCCATTTAAGGCATAAAATGTGCATATGTACTTTACCACATTTTTACAGGGAATTTTATCATTTTCCATTAATCATTAAACTATAGCAAAAACCGTGTACGGAAGTATGACTCTTACCCATTTTTCTCTAAGTTTATAGTTTTTGACGCACTCACTGTCTGTTAGTTTTTCTCAACAGTTTTAGACCCCATTCCCACAGATTTTAGATCGATCTATCCCCGTGGGAGTCTCACTAGATTACTGTCAGCTAGCCTGCTTAAATGTCTGTCCCGCCTACTAAAAGCTGTAAGGGGGTAATTAACTACCGTGCGCGCTCGGCTGATAGCAATTTAGCGTGAATCCCCAGGGAGTTAGGTCGATCTAGAGCCCATTCCCATAGATTTTAGATCGATCTATCCCTGTGGGGAGTCTCACTAGATTACTGTCAGCTTAGCCGGCTTAAGCGTCTGTTCCACCTACTAAAAGCTGTAAGGGGGTAATTAACTATGGTGTGCGCTCGGCTGACTGCAATTTAGCGTGAACCCCCAGGGAGTTAGGTCGATCTAAATCTAAATCTCTGGATCGATCTAAATCTCTGCTGTGTAAAGGTCTTCAACGTAATGTGCAATGTCTGTTCTTCAAGAATGACGTGCGTTTACAGATATGCCTGGCAAAGCAGGCTTTATATGTTTTGATTCCGGACACGTACACCACTAGCCCCCTTTGATAACGTCATAAAGCCGACAATGGCAAATGAGTCTCTTAGACCCCATTTCCATAGATTTTAGATCGATCTATCCCTGTGGGGAGTCTCACTAGATTACTGTCAGCTTAGCCGGCTTAAGCGTCTGTCCCGCCTACTAAAAGCTGTAAAGGGGTAATTAACTATGGTGCGCGCGCGGCTGACTGCAATTTAGCGTGAACCCCCAGGGAGTTAGGTCGATCTAAATCTCTGGGAATGCACCCTTACAGGGTGTAAAAGGTAGCAGTCGCTCAGTCGCCAGGAGCGGGTTAATGGCGACTTGGGCGACCTGGGCGCTTTTAGCTGACATAGCCAGAGAACAAGCATGAAATTAACCTTTCAGCACACGGAACGTTTAGTAATCTTTTACTAAATCTAGATGTAAATAAGTTTACAAACTGAAGGTACAGGTTTTTGTATATATTTCAATATATAAAACAATTCAGCAAACTAAAACGACATAGTTAAATTCTACGACGATGCTGCGTCTTCACACAAAATTCTTGTCGGTAAAACGATGCGCTTGGGATTGATTCTTTTGCCTATCATCAAAGTAGGGCCTCCGAATTCCCTTTGGGACCCGGTATTGTGGCAGTTTTATTATGTTTGGAGCTCATACATTATAATTACTTTTTAAAGTCTATTAATTAATTATTGTCCATGATATTAATGGCGCGGTGAGCAGTGCATTGTGTGTAAAATTGATTGTGGTAGCAGCGTCGCACTCCTACCACAATGGCCGCAATCTATGGTAATAAACTGCCTTTTTACTGGGTCGCTAGTAGATGATAATATAGTGATACGTTTTTTAAAAAAATAAATATAGCCTATCAAAAAGAACCGTATCAATGCTAACAAATAGAGGGACAGCTTACAGAACGCGCACATCTTGAAATTAAAATGGTGATCATTTTCCCTAAAAGAATGCACTGCGCTGACAGACACTCTTCTAGTCCCGGTGACCTTAACAAGTCGGAGAATTACAAAACATGAGCCTTTCCTTGCTCAAAAAAATTTTCAAAATTGTTGTGAATGTTGAACCGGTCACCCTATTGTATGTATATAGGTAATCAGGATGTACCTGCTCAAATGCACAAGTACCGCATCGATACGTTTTGAATAATGACATAATCTTTACAAACATTCAGTATTTACTAAAGCACTTACGCTTCAAGAGCTCAATACACACGACTGCATGCTGACCATATAACCTTATCTAACAGGGGCCGCTAGTAAAGCCTGTTATAAATTATAAGAAGAGACAATTTAGTAACAGACCAGTAGCTGTCCTCAGTATGCCGAGCGTTGGAGAGTAACAGTGCACAAAAGGTAAATGTTCCCGTGCATTTGACTTTGAACGACTGAGATATTTCACTCCATGGAAAATGTGAGAAAAAGTGCAAGAGTAAGCTGGCATTTTAATAGTGGTTCAAGTCAACAGAAGCATGCTGGCTGACTCGGTAATAACTATGGCATCAATCTTTAGGTTCTGTCATACCAGCATAGAGAAGACCGTATGAATATTGTATGTGCCATCGATTATACGCACAATTATTAGCTTATGAAATCACCCTGTCTAGAGTATTAAAACGAACTCATTCAGCAGCGTATGCAATTGTTTTTAAAATGCTCAAAACATTTCACATCCCCTCGGGTATGCGAACGTGCACCAACGCTTGCCTGCGTACTCAATACGTTTTAGACGTGAGTCTAACACCCCCCTTGTGATTGTGTACGTACAGTGTATGGGGAATTTTCTTATACATGTAAGTTAATGCTATACTTAAAAGGTGTGGCGGTGTTTTTAGCAATTCCTTTTGTTTGATATCAGCCACACGCCATGTTACGTGTCAAAAAAGGGGGCTAGTTTATATAGAGAGAACACAAACACTTCGCCGCGTCTGTCCACCATTCAATTTTTTATGGCCCCATTAAAAGGTCATTTAATAGCTTTATGATTCTTTAACCTAATCCAATGCCTGATTCCAAGTCCCACCCGTACCGGCACTGAACTGAGGTCTGGGACTACAGTTACCAAGTGCATCAACTCGTTTTAACTCTAGGGGAGGGAGGGAGGGGGAAGAAGGAGGGAAAGAGAGGAGAGGCTTCCAGTTTTCATCCAAATGTGGTGACTAGAGCTGCAAATGGGTGACAAAACCGAAAGTGAAGTTTATCTACTCCTCCGGATCAGGTGTTTATTTGTTTATTTATGAATTTTTGCTCCTAAAAAATCATACAATCATGTTATTCACGTACATACTCATAATTGTCCGAGAAAAGTTCCCGTGAAGTCTTGGTCGAAGGCATTAAGTATGGTTTATTACGTTTTATGATATACAGAACAGAACATGTTGTAAGGATGTAGCCACATCAACCTATCACCCCATTTCCATAGATTTTTAAATCGATCTATCCCTGTGGGGAGTCTCACTAGATTACTGTCAGCTTGGCCGGCTTAAGCGTCTGTCCCGCCTACTAAAAGCTGTAAGGGGGGTAATTAACTATGGTGCCTGCTCGGCTGACTGCAATTTAGCGTGAACCCCCAGGGAGTTAGGTCGATCTAAAACTTAATCTTTAGATCGATCTAAGACCCCATTTCCAGAGATTAGATCGATCTACTTTAGATCGACCTAACTCTCTGGGGGTTCACGCTAAATAGCCGTCAGCCGGGCGGACACGAAAGCTAATTGACCCCTTACAGCTTGTAGTAGGCGGGACGGACATTTACGCCGGATTATCTGACAGTAATCTAGTGAGACTCCCCGCGGGGATAGATCGATCTAAAAGCTCTGGGAATACAGCCTAAATCTCTGGGAAAACACCCTATGGTAGATAATAGCCAGCAATTAACACCTCTAACTAAAATAATAACTAATGCCTCATCAAAATTAAAGATCTTTTAAAAGTATAGAGTGGCCGCTGTAATATTTGTGTTTTTATTCCAGTTCAAATGAAAGTCCATTAAATGTATGAAAGTGAAAAATTCTACATGTATATGCGTTCCTCGCTTGGTATGCCAAAGTGAACCGTGGCGTGACACGAAGGTTCCATGCACAGGCCGCCCTACCCCAACCGTTCCCCGGGGCCCGTTAATTTGATAATGCATTGAGGAAATTTTTTCTTCATCAAGATACGTATGTATGATATGTATGTTCCCCTTGTTGCTTTACGGAATTTGCTGGTGATATAAAGACAAAAGTAATATTGTTTAACGGAAGAAAATGCAGCTCGAGGCACGGTCATGCACCGACACCGAGCCATAAAGACTTTAATGTGATTTCATTCTAAGACCGTGACAACACTTTGTGGTAAGGGAAGGTTTTTACAGTTAACTTAGAGATTAAGCTGCCTATGAATTTCAATTTGGTGAAAGGCTGGTGTTGATAAACCTTATCATTCTATTTGAATAACACAATTAACTTGGAACAACGTGGCCCACGATAATATTTTTACAGCTGATAGTAGGACAATTTGCACCAGCAGATAAAGGATTTTGCTAAGATGGGCGGTACATGTACACAAGGATAAAAAAGAATACTTCGCTTTGATAGGTACGTAAATATGAAGGTATGACAATTTCAAAAAGTACATGTATAATTTATACCCGGTAGGGCACACGGGTGAACGAATTACTTCTTTTTTAATACTTATTCAGGCCAGCAATTTCAAAAGTTAGGGGTTCTTTTTTTTTTTGAAAAGTGGACCTTTTATCATGAAACGTTCGTGTATACCTACATGCAGATAACATTTACTTAGAGCAGATCTTTCCCAGGTGTGACAGGAATGAAAGTCCTAGGTATGGAAGTCCGGGGTCCCATATGATTACTACAGGTTAGGGTTATAGTCGAAGTACCGTGGTTAGTACCGGTATATGGGGTGTATATGTTATGTATAAAGTAATGGGGAACGGACTACGGTTGCTAGCTATAGAGGACTACCATTCTTGACACACCTGATCAATAAACGACGTGCTGCCATTTGTCGTGACCCAATAATTGCAGCACTTTTGGGCTGTTTTCATTAATTTACGACTACGTTGCTACCAGTATGTTGCTAGCGTGAGCGACATCGTTCTCTCCGTGACATCCAAGCTAATTCCATGCACTGACATTATGGGGAGTTAAATGAAGAAGTGATTTTTTTCTTTTCTCTGGGATAAAAAACCTGATAAAATTAAAAGAAATATCATTATAAGGGATTATAAAGCTGGGATTTTGCGTACAACTGAAGGGGAAAGTTTCAGTTCACTACAAGGTTGTCTGTTGACAGCATACCAATAGAGCCACCTTTAGATTAAATAGCAAATGTTGAGTTAATTGACCGGGTTAATCGACCAACCTTTAAGACAAACAATTAAATTTAAGAGAGCTGTAGGTCAAGCCTAATTGAACGACTGGTCGATAAATAACCACGAGTTGTTCACTAAAGGGTCTGTAATCTTCCATAAGAATATCAGGCCTACCCAACTACCAGACTCGGCACCTAAGGATCCTGAATTAACCGGTATATCGGACCACACTACCCGTTTTCAAGGTGTGTGTCAGATCGCATTTCGGAGTATCAGCCAGAACACCGACAGGATGAGCCCTGGCATGCTCGGCTGTCACTTTGATTGGATAGTAAACGATTGTCGTAAAATCACTATATGATTTTAAAACCGGGCGCATAAATTTGAAAGCCACCTAGATGAACCTAAGACTGCCACATTAATCTAATACAATGCAAAAAAGCCCTATCAAAAGTGGTTAAAACATTCAAACCGAATGTCGTAAAGTCCCCATATACCCCCATAGAGACAATAAAATAGAGTACTCTAAAGTAAGAGTACAGTTTCAGGTTGTTCAGCCGAGCGTGCATGAGCCCGCAGTCGTGCTACAAAATTTATTCTGGGGTATGATACTCCGAAATGCGATCTGACACACACCTTGAAAACGGGTAGCGTGATCCGATATACCGGTTAATTCAGGATCCTTAGGTGCCGAGTCTGGTAGTTGGGTAGGCCTGAATATGAAGTGGGATCAATTTTACTACCTTAAAATCGAAGTTCAATGCATGTTTACCTGTGTACTGATATCGAAGTAGCTGCCTTCTTTTATCGTATTCACATGTTTGCTTTAGCGATGTAATGGGAATGTGTGGGACGATAATGACCACTCGAAATAAAAACCGTGCGTGATAAGCTTGATCGCGCGATCAGGTCGATCCAATTAAGAGTCTACTGGGATCAGTCTTGAACATATCAACCGAATCTTTATAGTGTGGATGTAAACGGGGGATATACTGGGTACACGTACAACATACATACATGTAGCGTGCTTTCTGCAGAGAGAGAGAGAGAGAGAGAGAGAGAGAGAGAGAGAGAGAGAGAGAGTTCATTTTGTATCATGTTCTAGCTCAATAATACATGTACATGTACATACTGCCTATGAACGGTGATATCAGTGTATTGAATAGAATAGAATAGAATAGACAGGCCCGTAGCCAGGGGGGTTCGAAAGAACCACCCTTTTTGCTGGAAAAAGGTCCACTCTGGGTGAAATTTGATCTATATACTTGAGGATTTTATGGTAAAAGGTCCACTTTTTCAGAAAACGAACCCCCCTCTGAGATTGCTGGCTACGGGCCTGATAGAATTGAACAGAATAATTCTATTCAAAATTAGGGGTTTAGGTGGGAAACATGCAATTTCCCTTTGTATGCATGACAAATAATAAACTGCCACCAACTAGCCCGACATACGATACAGTATATAATGCCTTTCTATCGCCCAGCATGCTGTCGCGTATATGGGGCTCCTGGGCAGTGCATTATTTAATACGTAATTCATTATTTTTTCGAACATTCGCTGACACAACACAAGTTAACTTGACGCTGTGCAAACTGTTACCCCGACCAAGTCAGTAGACGACAAAACATAGAGTTCCAGATACCACTTTGGATATTTTAGCTGTTTGGGGGTGGTCGGCTCATGCCTTAGTTAAACTACCTCAGATCAAAATAACACGATCCAAGGCTGGGCCCCTGGGGACGTGTATTTAGAGAATAGAGATTGTTGGTGGGACGCTCGGGGTTGAGATTTAATGCTCTAATTCCCTTTGTTTTCCTTTGTTACGTTTGTGTGAGGGAGTGATTTGATATATCAGATTAAAGTTATATCTGATGGAGTGTGTGTGCGTAGCTGTGTACAGCGTACTGCATGAGGCATCTCACCTCAGCGTGGTGTAGAAAAAGGCGTCTCACCTCTGTTTGAAAGTGACCAGAGAAAGGTTGTACGAGTCGTACAGCCTGGAGGGGGGAGGGGTGGACTGGTTGCAGAAAGCGCTTTTCGGTCAACAAGTGACCTTCATCAGCTGCAGAGTCCGACAGAAAAAAAAGGAAAAAGTGAGGGGGTGGTCAATGCTGTATAGCAGCAGGTGGTTTTCTCCCGGTGGAGAGAACCCGGTTCTCATCAAAGGTGTCTCGCCTTTGTGAGTGTGTGTCTGCTTACGCAGATTGTACGTGCACTTGTGTGCGAGGACGTCTCGTCCTTACAAAGGTGTCTCGCCTTTGTATGTGTGTATCTGCTAGGCAGATCACAGTGAGACCACGAAAGTATCTCGCTTAAGTGGTGGTGTTGCTTACTGATAGCGGCACAGTAAGGTGGTAAGGACAGTCACCTGCGTGTCACTATTGTGAGCCAAGGAGTTCTGACAACGACGAGTTGATTGCTCAATGGTCGAGGTAGAACTGATTTTGCAGGTTGTCCTCTGGTTTCTAAATAGTCTAGAGTGTCCGTTGATTGGTCGACCCACATGGTCTTTTCTGATTGGATGAGATTCATTAGGAGGTTAGGATTTGAGGTGTGAGGTTATCCCCTAGTCCTCGGGGGTGGTATTGATATTAGGGGAGCCTCTGTTGCTTTGTATACGGTCAAAGAACTTGTTATTTTCATCCTAATAGCTCGCAGCTTTTAATAAGGTTTGAGATAGACGGTACAGCAGATGTGATTCTTTTTCTTTCAGTTAATAAGACCCAGGTGGTGTTGAAGCCGGGCGAGTATTCTCTGACTTGTTTATTTTCTAATGGTTTTAATATATGAGCTTTTACTTGGGCTTTATGCTTTTTTTGGGCGTTTCTTTCAAAGTATAGAGAGGGTTTCTCGCCCTCTGGGAAAAGACAAAAGAGTGCTTTTATTTGCTGGTTGTTTATAAATTTCTTGTTTGAACCTAAGATCTAATATACCAGTTATTAGATCTTAGTTTGAACATTTTGGTATAGCTTTTCCTGAGCATGTGAGTAGCCCTGAAAAGGGCTGTTTTAAGATTTGGTGCTGCTCGTTCATTTGAGCCGTTTCAGGGTGGCAGCTGTGCGGCGTTTTGCTTTTGTGGAAGTGACGATCTTTCTCTTTTTGGTTTTCATCGTGAGGAGTAGGGAGCGGACCTGTTCTAGAAGATCTGGGTTGGTGTTTGGAGTCGGTTGAGGGCTAGCGTTAATTTCGTATGTCCCGTGTATCTTGAGGAAGTCCTCTGCAACCAGTCCAAACCCCCCCTCCAGGCTGTACGACCCGTACAACCTTTCTTTGGTCACTTTCATACAGAAGTGAGACGCCTCTCTCTACACCACGCTGAGGTGAGACGCCTCATGCAGTACGCTGTACACAGCTACGCACACACTCTCCCTCAGATATAGCTTTAATCTGATATATCAAATCACTCCCTCACACATACGTAACGAAGGAAAACAAAGGGATTTTGAGCATTAATCTCAACCCCGAGCGTCCCACTAACAAGCTCACAGCTTTTAACTAGGGGCGCTGTCAAAACACACGTACCCAGGGGCCCAGCTTTGGATCGTGTTATTTTGATCTGAGGTAGTTTAACTAAGGCATGAGCCGACCACCCCCAAACAAAAAACGGTATATTAGATCTTAGAACAGTGGTATAATTTTTCATTACATAACATTCTAAACTTCATGTCTGTTATGTGCTAGTTACCAACCGAGGGAAATTCCAACCCCAACATATCACTGAATTACGATGCAAACAGAACACAAGATCAACAACAAAGATACCAAGGTTTTTATGATATTGGGGTAAGTTTCAACATGGTGCATTTTTATCTGAATAATAAAATTTTAAACATCGTGTTTGTACAGTCTTACAGGGCACGCATTGAGAAGCCGAGGCTGCAGTTGCACTTCTCGTATCTAATTTATTTTATTTTAGTATTAATTTTCTCCCTTGCATATCATCTATAAGCTTGGTAGACCTATTGGTGGCCATAGCAGGAGATTATTTGCCTTATATCTTTTCAACTCTGACTACGGGCATTCAACTGTTCATTTTACCCCATGTGTCCTGCTGCGTATTTTTACAATAATATTGATTTTTATTTATTTTGCAGTTCAGGTAATTGGAGTTGCTATCGTATTCTAACGTCTTTCTTACCTAATACACCAAAGACCGACCCCTCCCTATATTATTATTATTATTATTATTATTATTATTATTATTATTATTATTATTTTATAGAAATGCTGCAGAAATTTGTGCTCTGAGGTTTCATATCAAAATATCCCAGTTGCTACATGTAGGTAAATTATGGTCAGTTTAAAACATTTTATTTTGTTATGTAACAAGGACAATTTGTCATTTTGCAGCATACTGGACAGCCTACAACGCAGAATCGTATCTATATTGAACAGCAATGGCCAGGACAACATGGACCACCCCCTTCAGTATACGGTGTCAGCGGTAGGCACGGATATGGCCCAGTGCCGCAGATGTACCCTCGACCGGTTCCACTGATGCAGCAACAGGTTTATTACTACACATACGCATACATACACAGTCTCGCAAAGAGAGAGAGGAACGAGAGCGTGAGAGAGAGAGAGGGGGAGAGACGATGTTTTGATCACATTCACAGAAAGCAAAAACTGCATAGTTTAGTAGAAGAGAACAAGTCGATAAGAGTTTGACAGCATACTTTTTTTTGCCTTCCCGGTTTATTTAAGAATGTATGTTATCAAGGCTTATGTGCTATTTTCCTGCTTGTTGTAGATAAATACCCTACAGGCCGTAACTTCCATTGAACCTAAAATGAACGTCAGGTTTGACGATTTGCAAGGGAAAATCACAGTCATTGATAAACGGCTGCAGGAATACGCCTTTTTACAAAAACAAGATGGCTTGAGGTTAAATCACATCGAGAAGATGCTTGCTCGCATTGACCAGGCAGTAAGTGGGCATAGTGAAGCCATCACGGAAATGCCAACGATGCTAGCCCAAGGAATCGAATTGAATGAAAGAATGTCGAATGTTCATCCACAGGATTTTTTCGTAGGTTTCGTTTTTTTTTCCTGAAATATTATTACAACAATTTTATAACATATTGACAAAATCATTCCAGCATTTATCGATTAAAACATTCCTTTAATGTCATATTAAAATACCAATTTTGAGCGAGTTCATTATATTATTCACTAATCAGTTGGCCAATTTTTATTTCTCATAATAATTTAATGTGTTAACATCAGTTTGTTAAACGTGGGCACCCATGTATTTGGAATCAAATAAATGCAAAGGAAACATGCATTTTCAATTTAAGAACTTACGGTTCCAGAACCACCAAACCATGGACATACATTCAACTGTTGATGAGAGATCTAACACCGTTCTAGTGGATAACCAGGAAAGACTCGGAATGGTCCCTCAACGACTGAGTGCAGATATTGAGAGAGGAGGCCATCCAGAGCCCAAGTTAGTCAAACAAAAAAAGCTTATTTTTTGTATGATAATGTGTCAAATACATGAGTAAATGAATAGTTTCACTTGGCTCCAGCAAGCTGACGACGGGACAACTTTAGTTGACTTAAAAATGAAAAGTCTTTTAAGAAAGTTTTTTTTGACAATGTGCATGAGTTGTCTGTTGGTGTGCCAGGTCCCAACAAGAATGTTTATTTCTTAACACATTTTATATGTTATTGCCCGGTAGATTTTTTAGCTGCTAGTCGTTAAGTAAAATACAAATATTTTTCAGAATGGACTTGTTCAGAACTTGCCAGCGAGGTATGGAAATGATATTTTAATTCTTAAAACTATATTGGAAACAAAGATGGAAAGGGGCGTATGACAGAAGTTCAGAAGTTAGACCTTACGGGAGCACTTCAGTTAGAAGTTATACATTTTTGTTCATAAATGTTGTATTAGAGAGTTTGTATATATACGATGATGATATGTATTTGCATCTCGAACCTATCAAAACAATTTACTAAGTTTTCTATTTAAGACCAGGAATTTAAGGTGGGCATTTTCTGTCTTCTTCATTCTCTCTTCCTAACACATACAACGCGTAAAAGTTAAATCAATGGTTTAATTTTTGTGCAGGACCAATTGCAATGACCAAACAACATAAAAGAATCCTACAAAAGAACCACAAAGCACTAGTGGATGATCTGGAATTTAATCTGATTTGTCCACGTTTGTTTGAAGATGGAATTTTGAAAGAAGATGATATTGAACAGTTAAGTAACATAGCTGTCTCATCAGTTAGAAACAGAACTTTACTCGTGAACATACTGCCCAAGAGAGGAGATGCTGCGTTTTGGAGCTTTCGAAAGGCGCTGAAAGATACGAAACCGTGGCTTGACAATCTGTTAGAAGAGAAAACGAGTAAGTAATATATGTATCAAGTGTTCATACTTAATTTTTCATGCATGGAATTCGCTGCCTATAGTTACGCTATTGGACTATGTTGCCCTAAACTGTGGTGGCTCTGTAAGTAGTGACGTTGTAACTGTAGATTCGATCGTAAGTTGCGGGCTTATACTTAATCGCTTATATAAGAATTTTAATTTTGACTTTATCACCTGCAGATTACGTGACCGCAGAACTAAAAGTGGATTTAGTGTCATTTACTGGGAATATTGTCAACAGAGAGCGTCTGCAGCGGGCACATCAGATAATTGAGGAACAGGCACCGATGCTTCAAGAGGCCCTAAGTTTGATACACCTCACGATGGAAAGCATCAAGTCCGGCTGCCTCTTATGTACGCTTCGATTCGACGCCATAAATGTTCTTGATAATTTCTGGGGTTGGACGAATTCAAAATCCAAAGAGCCTTCGCCACTTTTGAAGGTAGTAAGAAATGCGTTGCGGACTAGGGAACTAGATAGAATTATGGAACAGAATGGTTTTGAATTCTTGCTCAAGGGAGAAATGAGTGCCGAACAGTATTTTGAGAAAAGAGCACAGCTGTTGCAAGGTAGGAACTGAAGCTGCAAGTTGATTATTTCTTAGTATCGATAGCCGGTGAAGGTAACTATTTCGATGGATTGTGTATCTTAAAGAAAAAGCCAAGAAGGCGATTTTTGTAATACTATACGCATGTTTTGTGATTAATTGCCATTATTAAAGTGTTCTTATATACCGCACTCCATGCGTCCCGGCTGGTTTATAATGGCTGACAATATACCTACATGTTACCCTCTACCAGGGCGACTGATAATTTTTACAGATATTTACAGATATGTCTCTAGCTAGATAGATGGTCATTTTGGGCTGACTTCATTTTACTTCAGCCCAAAATGACCATCTATCTAGCTAGAGACATATCTGTGAATATCTGTAAAAATCTATCAGTCGCCCTAGTAGAGGGTACCTACATGTAGCATTTTTTGCTCCCAATTCAGACTGCATGTAGGCGGTCTCACATTCCTGTTGAGGATACAACAAACACAGTTTGAAAAACCTCAATAATTGTGAAAACAAAATCGAAACTTGGCGAGAGGTGGTGATGAATCTCATTTGTTGAGAACCCAATTTAAATGTTTTTTTTAGTTTTGTTTTGAATGAAAAAGGTGAAAGTGGCCTTTGCTGACCATTTTTGCATTAGTAGATGAGAATTGAAAATGAGGTCAGAATCATTTTCCTTGAAAACTGCCACTCATTCTCTATTTGAAAAAGTCATCCAATAACGAAGGTTTCTTGCCTCCCTTTGTTCATTGTCTGTATTTTACATAATCTTATTTTTCAGATAGCCAATGCCTTCCAGTCAGGTCAGCAGATGATTGCCTGCATCCGTATGTTGGACGCTCTGTCTTTGAAAATGAAACGGAAGAGCGTCTTTCTGTTATTTTGTATAAATTACATAAGCAAGCGTATGGGGAAGACACAGTTCCAACTTTCACCATGTTTCTGAACCGCTTAAGCGATAGTGTTAGGGCTCGGCAGAAGGTGCTTCGACTGCGAGGCCTTTCATCAAATTTGCTTGTTTCCTACACCAATATGAAACGGGATTGGGAGAACTTAACTGCTGATCGTGTCGAGAAAGACCTTGAACTACAAGAGCTCCGAGAAAAGCAGTTGGCCAATGCAGGGAATCTGAGTGAAATTGAATATCACCGACAGCAACTTGCAAATTCTGAAAAAAACTGTGAAACATTAAAACAGCAATTAGAGGAAGCATCTGCAGAAGTTACTGTCAAAAATGACGTTATTAGCCAGTTGGAAAGTCGCCTGAAAGATACGCAGATGCAAATCAAAGTCCAAGAACAACAAACGAGAAGCACACGGGTTGATCGGACACAAAATCCTACTGACGAAGAAGAGTCGCCGCTACAAGAGATGCAGAGACAGCGCAATCGAGAGCAGGAGCTTCTAGCAGTTATAAAAGAAAAAGACGAACAATTAAGTCAGTTAAAAGGGCTCCTTGACGGGATAAGACGTATACCAGGAGAAGGTTTCGTATATTCAAATCAAGGCAACAGGGTGTTTGAACTTGAAGACCCCGCGTCACAGAATGTTACCCATCAAAAGGATGTGGATCTTTTAAAAGGATATATGCATGGTCCCCAAAACAGAGAACGAAGAATCCCAAACATTGTTAGTGCAATGTTTAATGAACAGAATTTTTCACAAGGCCAAGGGAAAGAGGCTGAATTTGAGGACACGTATAAAGAAGGCAATAAAGATGTAGACATTGAACGAGGAAATCAGAACTCGCCAAAGGCACCAGTGCCTGAGCAGGAAGGCGCCACTGATACCACCCTTAACGTCGTGACAGCTGAATCAGAAAAGGACCAAGCTGCAGTAGGTGGGGAGAGTACCGAGACTAATACGGAGGGCAGTGTGCCAGGTGGGTAGTAAGCCCCATTAGGTAAGTAAGCCCCATGAACAAAGCTACGTATGCAACGTCATTATTTTTCAAATATAATGCCAGATGGCTCACAATTTGACAAAAAACGCAGTTGACGTCAGGGGGGTCTGGGTCGGGGCAAGTTGGCCCCCTATACGAAAATGAAGTAAGTATCCCATGTAAACGCCTTGAAATACATTTTTATAAATTTTAGATTTATTAAATTGATTTTTGAGAGTCTCTGATGAGAAAATAGTTCAAATGAGGCAGATTTATTGAGTACGTCACGTTGTAGAGGGGGGGGGGGGGGCTGTGTGTTGCAAGAACCAAAATATCTATCAATAAAATTTGTTTTGTTTTAATTAAGAATAAATTAAAATGGAATAAAGCAGGTTTTTAATGAATGAAAACTAATAATAAATTTTCGTTTTTTAAAAAAATAACAAATTCAGTTTTTAACCATTGAGTTTGTTTCAACAATGGTCTCTAGCACAAGGGTTTTGGGTAATATGAGGGTCCAACTTGCCCCGAGTCAAGGGGGCCAACTAGCCCCTGGTGCACATTTTTTATTTTAAAGGATGGCAGCCATTTGTGGTGCTAGAGTGAGCAACGATGGTTCATCTGTGTGAAATTTGAAACAATGACCTTCAGTTTGATGCCCTATACATATATTATATTCGATCAAAAGCCTATGAAAATAGATTTTTAAATCTCTTAAACAAAATTACTTTTAGGTGCAAAGACACTTCCTTAGTATTGTAGGCTACGGTCACTTTCCAAGAGTATGTGACCAATTTTTTTTACCTCGTAGTTACTTTTTCATAAATTAACGGGGGGCCATCTTACCCCGGGGTCCAACTAGCTCCGGTCTCCCCTAATATATTAAAATTTCGTCTTTTTGTACAATTAAAGGGATAATAACACTTCGTATGAGATCTATATTTCACAATAAACACATTGTGAATAACTCACAGAAATATAATATATTCTGTTTTACGACAAAAAACAGCAGTTATAGCTATTATTCTGATATCTGCGCTTGTCTTTAGATCACGTGACCTCCATTGATGGCTATACTCTGTTATAATCTCTTAAGAGATTTTAACAAAAACCAAACTTTTTAGAAAAAAAAACAGGGACTAACTTTGAATATAAAAATGGATTCATTTACCATTGGTAAGTAGGGGAAAATTGTTGTTTACTCCAGAAAAATTCATTTTTTGGCCAGAACGAAGAGTTATTATCCCTTTATCGGTTTTTACAGAGGTAAGTAGGAGTTTACAAATAAATAAATAAGGTATTTTTTATATGTACTGTATTTGTATTAACAAATTGTTTTGGTTCTTCTGAAGGTGAAAAGAAGATAAGACGAAGCAAAGGCTTGGACACGGTAATATGTATTGACACATCTGGATCGATGAAGACAGCCTTTCCCAAAGTTAAGGACACGGTGTTGCAGATATTAGCTCGTACGTATTTGTCAGTGAAAGTTCAGCAACGTTACACTTGTTAATAAACCATCTTGAAGTATTTGAATAAACATATTTAACGTACATGTAGGTGGAGCTGCAACTGCTTCTAGCAACAACATACAATTTCTAAAATCTTGTTACTTCATTTGAAAAAGAAAGTAAACCTTTTCGGTTAATTAATATAACTTCGTTAAATCTTAGTAACATATTTGGTATATCAGTAATTACTAGTATTTACTAGGCATGGAGCACGATGCCACATATTATGGGTTTGAGGAAAACGTGTCCATTGTTCAGTGTGGAGGAGACGGCACCGGTGTGGTGGTACCGCTGACTTTCGATTACGACATGGCGCGGAGGGGATTTGGTACGACAGATTTTCAAAATGATTGTTCAAGTTTTACAGTATCTACTGAGGCTATACTTAAACAATTACCAGTATAAGTAAGTGACCCTTTCAAATGCATTGTGTGACATCCCAGTCTGGACGCTGCCATTTATGCCATCTGGCAACGTGCCCCACTTCATAGTAATTTTAAAAACTATACAAACATGTTGAAACATACACGACGTATAGAATATTATGACCCGTTAGATAATACAATGTGTAACACCGTTGTATAATTTGACGCAATGCATTATTCNTGACCTGCATCAGTGAAAGCAAGCAACTCGACAGCTGAATGGTGGACACCGCCGACGCCACGATGTGCACTTCGCCCTGCCGTTAACGTGTTCGACGATAAAGACTTTTAATAATTTAATGTGTTAAAAGACTCTAAAATACTGTTATCTCCATGTGAAAAGACTTTGATTATAAGACGCTCAGCTGCCCGGTTTCCAGAGCTATTTTTCCCAATTTTGATAAAGAAAGATATAAGTTAAAGGGTTTTATCTCTGGTTTTCCCCCGGGCGTACACTAAAACATGTAATTAAATTTTCCTTATCTTTGTAAATATTGTATATATTATTAGAGTGAACGTCTCCAACATGAGTAATGAAAAAAAAAATTTTTTTTTTCTGGAAAAAATGGAAGGAATATGTCGGGTCCGACATAAAGATCATATGAAGTCGTATGACGTAATGTGTTATAGTGCAATAGCTTTTGAGTAATGCGGCGGTCTCTATGTATGACGCCGGAGTAAAGAAATTAATTATACAATTAAAGGTAATTATGTTTGACGTACATCTCATACTAGTGCAGCACTGGATCCATGTAAAGATAACAAAATAGTATTTAAAGTAAGGGATGAGAATTGAACGGGGAGAGGGATACGGAGAGATATACTGGAGTGATGTAGAAGGAAGCAGCGGAGGAGGAGATTGGAAGCGACGGAGTACGGAGCTGACGAGTTAGGAGTTGGGGACTTCACTTAGAATATCATGTAGTTACCTAGCGTCAACGAATAAATCATTTAACTGGTCATTATGTGGACTTGGGTTTTCTTTGCGCTACCATACGTAAATCTGACACGAACCGGGGAATCTTTGGATTGCGTTATCCACTAAGTTAGACGAAAACGTAATGTCCTATTTCGAGCCCACGCTTGAATTAAGCGTTCAAAATTATATAAGTTTAGGACATTCATCATAGGCATATGTAAAAGGTTCATTACATCGTGCTAAATCAGACTAGTTGTGTTTCGTAAGTGTAGTTATACATGTACATATAAACCACAGGGCAATTCCGCTGCGGTTTAACGTCAATATAAACGTTAAAAGTACGTTCTTTAGTACTACATGTAATGTCACCACCCCACCGTGCAGTAACGGCAGTGCATGTAGCTCGAGTGTGTGTGTGTGTGTGTGTGTGTGTGTGTGTGCGTGCGTGCGTGTGTGTCCTTCCTTCTGATAAGCCAATATAAAAAAACGTACATGTATGTGAGAACCAATGTTAAAATGTAAGCTAATAACGTAAATAACTAACACAATGGAGCGTTGCTAAGTCACCAACTGTTCAATATGACTAGGTGACAAACATTAAACCATCGATGCACATTGTCGTTCAAAGCGTCATGCTGACAAAGCGGTTTAGAGCTGACAGAATAATTGGCCTCGTTTTCGTCTTACATCGATTCACAGGTAACTGTAGCCCGAACGGGGTCAGCAGCATGAATATTCTTTTAAGCAGTACAAATATAACAGCTGAAAAGTGTTGATTGCAAGTTAAATGCAAGTGGTGGTGTTGCGTACTGATAGCGGCACAGTAAGGTGGTAAGGACAGTCACCTGCGTGTCACTATTGTGAGCCAAGGAGTTCTGACAACGACGTGTTGATTGCTCAATGGTCGAGGGAGAACTGCTGACAGCTTCACGTACAGTATATGTAGGCCGAGATGCAGACTTGATTGATTAAACGAGCGACTTGCGAAAGGTAAATATGTGGTTTTTCTTCTACCGACTTATTCTACATGTATTTGTCAACTGCCTCAAAAACATGTTGGTGAATTTTGGGATCATGTAACCATAGGATAACTCTTGGCTATAACCGAAATATATTGCCGAGAAACAGAGGTAAAGTACCATGCGACCTGAGTGATCCAACGAGTCTCTCATATGGCATGGTAGGTTGATGCTTTATATCACAGGATAGATTACTGCTTTTTTTTAAAAACAAGTGCCGGAATCATTTATTGATTTGAACACGGACAAAGACTGATTATTGGTTCGTCTAGTGTGGGGCCATGTTGAATTTTATGACTTGGCGCTATAAACGGGGGAGGGAGGGGGGGGGGTAAAAACGGTGTGTATAGGATCGTCTTTCAGGTACGTGTTCTTAAAATGGATGTAACGAGGTGACAGAGTAAAACTGTCTATAATAGTTCATCTGCACTTGTTTATGATCAGTGTTCAATATACTGTGACGCGAGCCCTCTCCTCGGGAGTCCCGTGGGCACGTTAATTTAATCGCGGGTCCGGAGAGAAGTTGATTTTCCCCAGGGAAAGTATATCCCAAGCACGAACAACAAGAGTGGATTTCAAATAAAGACAAACAGCTTTAATAAACGCAGAAATCGATTATAAAATTTCAATAGCACGTAAGCAAAGTTACAAAGCATTTGAGTATCTCGTACGCATTTAAAGTCATTCACGTTACTCAGTTCAAAAGTACATGTTACGTTCGCACAGAGTTCACAGTTTCTCTTGGAGTCCAAAACATAAAATAACGTCGAACTAAATCTCAACTAAAAATCTTAATAATAACGGAAACGCTACTGAATGGGTCCAGTCTTCTGTCGCGGCACAGTGCTTCGTTTCACATGAACAGTCCTGGAGAATGGGCTATGTATCCCCTGTAGACTCGGGCATCCCCACCTGCAGCTGCTTCATTTTACACGAAAGGCCCCCGTTTCACAAAGAATCTTAAATCCGTAGTTGACTAGCTCGGGCTGGGTGACCTAGCTAGGTCGACTACTCTGAGTGTTTTTTCACAAAGAGCGCATTCTCAACGAATTAAGCCAGGCTTTACAAAGCCGGTGACCTCTGTCGCCTCAAATGGCTTGTTTAATATCGCCCCCGGCATGTCTTATGCTTCCATCACGTGTTCTTATCGCTGTCAACAACGCTTCCGGTACTATTTTGACCCCTGCAGTGCACAATTCCGGTCATGCGCACATCGCACCTTTCGAATAATGCAAGTCGTATATAGTGAAACCACGAAAGTATCTCGATCTAACTAATCTAACGTCTTAGCTTGGCGTGCTTACCGTAGTCGACGCGCACGAGAAACTCTTCAAGAAAAGGAGGTGTAAAATTTCAAAAGTTTCACAAGACATGACGTTTCATGGCCTCACTTTTGAAGGGAGTGAGGAACAGGACATGAGGGGAAGGTGTTTGTGTGAGGCAATAGGCCATCAAGGAAGAGTGGGTAGGCACCTGGTCATAGGAGCGGAAGAGGCCACTGGGAGCTAGGCCAGGGATAAGAATTAAGAAGATTAGAACAGATCACTGAGGAAGATTCATACATTTTCAATTAGAACATTTGATACTATTTCAAAAATTTTGTCATTTTGACCAGGGGTTAGTGTTTTTTGACCATGTAGGAACAGTGATATCTTATCTAGTTGGGTTCCAAAGAAGCCGATTGACAAAATATGCCCCCACTGCGACTCAATAGAAGATGAAGCACACTTTTTTCTAGAATGCAGTGAACACAGAGTCGAACGGGAAATACTGTTCGCTTCCATACCAGAGGCAGGGTTCAACAGACAATCAACTATCTATTTTACTCAATCCACTCTCTGCGCAGNGAGAAGCAGTTAACATCAAGATCCGCCCCCCTCGCTTAACCGCAAACAGGGCCCCAATCTAACCAGAGTTCACGATAGCATCTTGTTACCAAGGCGTTGGATTCTGAATGGTGAATTTCACGAAGCTCTTATTTATAATAAAAGTGTTGAAAATAGATCCGTCCAGTTTAAATAAATATACACACCGCGAGTTTAAATAAATATACGTTTGAAATGCTTGTTTTCCTCCTGCTCAATCACGCGCGTGCGATACCATGAGACAGTTATTTAAACTGAACTGTATATACATGTACCACTTGAAAATTTATGCGGTTTTTACTATTTACGAAAGAATATAACTGATTGTTCAAAGGCTAGGGGGTCGAGAGAGGGACATATCTATACACGCTTTATCACGCTTTAATCGTTCACGTTCGTTAAGCGGGTTTGAGAGGTTCGTTGCTGGACTACTGAAAAGTTAAACGGAGATTGTACTCGTATATCATACGGCATAGGAACGTACACAAATACAGAGGACCACAACTTCAGGATATAGTTTGGTTTTATTTAATTAGTATTGATCTTAAGTTTCTTTATTTGTATAGGGATCACAAAATTTAAAGTAGGCCAATAGTTAGTTCGTAAATATTATATCATAACATCTATCCAAATAACAAATACAAGAAACAGAGAATGTGTGTAGGCTCATCATAACAGTGTGTTTCTTCGCGGTTGCAATTCAATACAATAATGATAAAATACTTAGATCCGCTAGTTATGGGTCGTTGACTTGCTGAATAACCTTCAGCTATATTTATAAAGTGATGAAAAACAGGCCCGCCCTCACACTGCGAAATTAAATAAATCTACTATTTGAATGCTAAATGAGAAACGACTATTTATCAATTTTCTCGTGCTAAATCAGACTAGTTGTGTTTCGTAAGTGTAGTTATACATGTACATATAAACCACAGGGCAATTCCGCTGCGGTTTAACGTCAATATAAACGTTAAAAGTACGTTCTATTAGTACTACATGTAATGTCACCACCCCACCGTGCAGTTACGGCAGTGCATGTAGCTCGTGTGTGTGTGTGTGTGTGTGTGTGTGTGTGTGCGTGTGTGTCCTTCCTTCTGATAAGCCAATATAAAAAAACGTACATGTATGTGAGAACCAATGTTAAAATGTAAGCTAATAACGTAAATAACTAACACAATGGAGCGTTGCTACGTCTCCAACTGTTCAATATGACTAGGTGACAAACATTAAACCTTCGATGCACATTGTCGTACAAAGCGTCATGTTGACAAAGCGGTTTAGAGCTGACAGAATAATTGGCCTCGTTTTCGTCTTACATCGATTCACAGGTAACTGTAGCCCGAACGGGGTCAGCAGCATGAAAATTCTTTTAAGCAGTACAAATATAACAGCTGAAAAGTGTTGATTGCAAGTACGAAAGTGAGTATCCCTTATATCGACAAATCAACTTACAAGCAACGGTACCGATAATTTCATAGGATGATTTTAGTTGCCACGTACCAAACATGTATGAAGCCTATATACAGTTGTATTTATGTATTAATCAATATAGCTATTGCATTCAGCGCATCCTAATCATGTGTTGGCTACTCGTGTTCTGTAAAAACTAGTAGTGGGCCATTCCGTGGTATTTTTTTGCTGTTACGGAAGGACATTTGACACTTCAAATGAAAATATTTTCAAAAGTAAAAAAGTTACAAGGTCCATTTTTTGTATGTTTATTCTTCTATATGTAAGTTTTAATTAGGCAAAAAATTAGGTTTAAAAAATTACAGTTACGAAAAAATTGTAATAAATAGCGTCTCGGAAGGACGTGAAATGGACATGGAATTTTAACTTTCAACTTCAACACTTAAATTCTGCTCTGTCTGTGTAGATATTTTTAAAGTCAAATCAAAATATGAATAATTGATTATTTTACTTTCTCAGTGTATAAAAATTTTTTTGGAAAAAAAATAAATTTGAAAATATTGCATATAAAAATATCAAGTAGGCGTCATGGAAGGACGCGTCTCGGAAGGATGTTTTGTCCATTGCTAAATAAAATGTAAAATAAGGCTAATAATAATATTTTATGAATACATACCAGCATAAGTTTGATGAATAATATCAAAGGTAAACATGTCTTTCTGTGGTAATATATTTCATCTTCAAACATGTTACTAATTTTGACTATAATATAAGTTCTCATCTGCTCTGATCATCTTCAAATAATATTGGGACATTTTTAGAGAAAATCTTACCAAATCTATTAATTATAAATATAATCAATTGTCTAAATTATAATAAATTCAAAATTATTCATTCAAATGAAATGTTTCTCAGTTTAAAAATGCTTCTATATATAATAATTGTGAATTTTAAGTTCAAGATCATCTTGAAAGACATAAGGGTTTAGGGCTCATTGGTCACATGAACTGTTATGGTCCAATCAAAATGCCTCATACGTGCTTCCACTGTGCTAGGTGTCATGTTTAATGCTTATATATTTGGATTTAATTTCTTATTGAAGTGGTTCTAAGNGCCCCCCCTCGCTTAACCGCAAACAGGGCCCCAATCTAAACAGAGTTCACGATAGCATCTTGTTACCAAGGTGTTGGATTCTGAATGGTGAATTTCACGAGATCAAGCTCATATTTCTGGTGAATAGAAACGACATGTATAGATCTCATTTTCACGCCTCAAATTTAAAATAGCATTATTATAATAAAAGTGTTGAAAATAGATCCGTCCAGTTTAAATAAATATACACACCGCGAGTTTAAATAAATATACTTTTGAAATGCTAGTTTTCCTCCTGCTCAATCACGCGCGTGCGATACCATGAGACAGTTATTTAAACTCAACTGTATATACATGTACCACTTGAAAATTTATGCGGTTTTTACTATTTACGAAAGAATATAACTGATTGTTCAAAGGCTAGGGGGTCGAGAGAGGGACATATCTATACACGCTTTATCACGCTTTAATCGTTCACGTTCGTTAAGCGGGTTTGAGAGGTTCGTTGCTGGACTACTGAAAAGTTAAACGGAGATTGTACTCGTATATCATACGGCATAGGAACGTACACAAATATAGAGGACCACAACTTCAGGATATAGTTTGGTTTTATTTAATTAGTATTGATCTTAAGTTTCTTTATTTGTATAGGGACACAAAATTTAAAGTAGGCCAATAGTTAGTTCGTAAATATTATATCATAACATCTATCCAAATAACAAATACAAGAAACAGAGAATGTGTGTAGACTCATTATAACAGTGTGTTTCTTCGCGGTTGCAATTCAATACTATAATGACAAAATACTTAGATCCGCTAGTTATGGGTCGTTGACTTGCTGAATAACCTTCAGCTATATTTACAAAGTGATGAAAAACAGGCCCGCCCTCACACTGCGAAATTAAATAAATCTACTATTTGAATGCTAAATGAGAAACGACTATTTATCAATTTTCTCGTGCTAAATCAGACTAGTTGTGTTTCGTAAGTGTAGTTATACATGTACATATAAACCACAGGGCAATTCCGCTGCGGTTTAACGTCAATATAAACGTTAAAAGTACGTTATATTAGTACTACATGTTATGTCACCACCCCACCGTGCAGTTACGGCAGTGCATGTAGCTCGAGTGTGTGTGTGTGTGTGTGTGTGTGTGTGTGTGTGTGTGCGTGCGTGTGTGTCCTTCCTTCTGATAAGCCAATACAAAAAAACGTACATGTATGTGAGAACCAATGTTAAAATGTAAGCTAATAACGTAAATAACTAACACATTGGAGCGTTGCTACGTCACCAACTGTTCAATATGACTAGGTGGCAAACATTAAACCATCGATGCACATTGTCGTACAAAGCGTCATGCTGACAAAGCGGTTTAGAGCTGACAGAATAATTGGCCTCGTTTTCGTCTTACATCGATTCACAGGTAACTGTAACCCGAACGGGGTCAGCACCATGAATATTCTTTTAAGCAGTACAAATATAACAGCTGAAAAGTGTTGATTGCAAGTACGATAGTGAGTACACCTTATATCGACAAATCAACTTACAAGCAACGGTACCGATAATTTCATAGGATGATTTTAGTTGCCACGTACCAAACATGTATGAAGCCTATATACAGTTGTATTTATGTATTAATCAATATAGCTATTGCATTCAGCGCATCCTAATCATGTGTTGGCTACTCGTGTTCTGTAAAAACTAGTAGTGGGCCATTCCGTGGTATTTTTTTGCTGTTACGGAAGGACATTTGACACTTCAAATGAAAATATTTTCAAAAGTAAAAAAGTTACAAGGTCCATTTTTTGTATCTTTATTCTTCTATATGTAAGTTTTAATTAGGCAAAAAATTAGGTTTAAAAAATTACAGTTACGAAAAAATTGTAATAAATAGTTAGCGTCTCGGAAGGACGTGAAATGGACATGGAATTTTAACTTTCAACTTCAACACTTAAATTCTGCTCTGTCTGTGTAGATATTTTTAAAGTCAAATCAAAATATGAATAATTGATTATTTTACTTTCTCAGTGTATAAAATTTTTTTTGGAAAAAAAATAAAATTGAAAATATTCCATATAAAAATATCAAGTAGGCGTCATGGAAGGACGCGTCTCGGAAGGATGTTTTGTCCATTGCTATATAAAATGTAAAATAAGGCTAATAATTATATTTTATGAATACATACCAGCATAAGTTTGATGAATAATATCAAAGGTAAACATGTCTTTCTATGGTAATATATTTCATCTTCAAACATGTTACTAATTTTGACTATAATATAAGTTCTCATCTGCTCTGATCATCTTTAAATAATATTGGGACATTTTTAGAGAAAATCTTACCAAATCTATTAATTTTAAATATAATCAATTGTCTAAATTATAATAAATTCAAAATTATTCATTCAAATGAAATGTTTCTCAGTTTAAAAATGCTTCTATATATAATAATTGTGAATTTTAAGTTCAAGATCATCTTGAAAGACATAAGGGTTTAGGGCTCATTGGTCACATGAACTGTTATGGTCCAATCAAAATGCCTCATACGTGCTTCCACTGTGCTAGGTGTCATGTTTAATGCTTATATATTTGGATTTAATTTCTTATTGAAGTGGTTCTAAGCAAAATTTTTTTCATATTTTGTTGGCTCCTATCAAGGTTGAGGAGAATATGAAGTTATAAGTTTTTAGCTTTTGTAGTTACTGAGATAACTTAAAAAATAGGTACCAAAATCGTCACGGAAGGACAAATTGATATTAATAAATCCATTATTTTATAATCAAATATTTTTAATCTAATGCACTTGACTAAATGTAAGAAATAAGTTATATTTAATGTTTTTAGCCTTTATTGTTTAAAATGATCTCTATTATGAAAAATATATCAAAAATAAAAATGTCCTTCCGTGACACTATTTTATAAGTTTTCCAGATAAAAGTGTCAATAAAATCATAATTAATCATCAAAACCTAAAATTTCTTTTGGATTCTGGTGTCTTATGGTGTCTGGTTTCAGAAATTATAAGTTTTATAAGTAGGATTCCTATTTCAAATTTTGAGGTCTGCGGACCAAATACCACGGAATAGCCCTAGTGCGATGCCCAAGGTGGGTCCAAATCTGTAAAAACATAATATTAAATATACATTTATATACTGGTATAGTTTCTAGAGTGCTCAACGCTGATGAGAACATTTATATACGACACTACAATAACAGCTAACGAAGACACATTAAATACCCATTAGATTTATTGGGATGTACGTTTGTAGAATGTTAGTTCGTCATTTTTTCTCGTTATTCTTTTCAGCTCCTCACATCACTTTATAACGTATACACATGTTGGTGTGAATTCAAAGCACGTCGACCGCGGTCTAGTTTCCCTGTAAATCTATTATTATTATATCCCTGCCATACAGGTAGAAAAAACCACTCCCAACAATTATCATTCAGTATATCAGGCAAAAGACACATCAAATCCCAAACACCTTGTCACACAGCTGTCTGTAACGCTGCTTTTTGTCATCTTGTTTTCTTCTTAACAAATTATTATTTTAAAAGTCCCTACATGCGGGACCTCAAATATTCATATTGTATTCAGCTTCCTAAATATTTTTCACTCGTTTCTTATGTCACAGTGCCGTGCTTATACATATGATTCATCAACTCCAATATCACTTTACATTCCAGCTGGGGCACACAGCGTGAGACGAGGGCCATCAATGCTCCCTTGGTCAGCTGCAGCCCTTTCGCAACAAACGGCATCTTTTGACCATCTCATGCTGATATATTACGATGACTGACGTGTGCCGTCAATAGCGGATAAAAGGAGAACGCCCGCCGGTGTCGCCCTCTGGTTCAAAGTAACTTCCAGTAGGCCCCTATGACAACGACAAGGCTAAACTTCACATAGAGCTCATGTATAATGGTTCGGAGGTGTTCACTGTGGAGTTTCGTCCCAGTGCGGGCTATCCGTCAGTCACCACTGTCTTTGGTCTGTTATACTTTGTTTGTGTTTGCTGTACTGATGGTTTGGCTAGGAATACGTCTACCACTAGGCAACAGTGAACAGAATAAGGTTGGAGAGCTTGGCAACAATAGTGGTCCTGCTCAGAATGGGCTGGGTCAAGATGAATATAAAGAGAAACAAAACAAAGTAAGTGATTAGGCCTTTGTTTTGCTATGATTTTATAGTTTGCATTGATAAAAACAGTGGTTAGATACTTTAATGGTGGATATTTTTTAATCCTTACAGATTGCAGACCATGGATTAAAACTGCATTTTTAAATATCAAATCATAGCTAGTTTTATTTGAATATGGACCTTTCGATGAGCAGAAAATTAAAAAAAAAAGATAAATTTCAAACTGATTATAAGGAAAATGTCGTTTATGGATCAAGAAAAAGACACCGCCTGAAGTTAAAGTTTCTGTAGAAACCCCTTTTTTTATTATGAATTCCATGTTTGCAATAGCTCCATAGTTGAGTGATATATACTCCCCCTCTTATAACTGACCACTGCTTTCTACAGGCTGTGGTCAAACTGGACCTCATGGGATTAAAGGTGCTGCTGCTGCACCCTTGCCCAGGGAGACAGTTCGAATGGATGCGCATCCGTATTGAGCGGATGTGGCTCCAGTGGCGGCAGGGTGCTATAGATCTTCTGAAGACTGGCCAACTGCAACACGTTAGGAAAAAGAAAAAGGTACATTATTGACTCATTACATGTATTTACCTTATTTCTGGTGAAATTTATTTCGGATCGATTCTTTTGTGAGCGTTGTTATGAGAATTAAGCACTGTTTGCAAACTAATCTACGTGTACCTTTGTCAATAGTCCATGCTAATTACAATTTACCGTGGCTTTTTCTTCAAAGTTTTCTGATACACGTAAACTTAAAGAGTTACTGGTGAACTGAAGGGAAGTTAATTATAAACAATTTAATATTTTCAAATTTATTCAGATCCTGCTTTTTTTCGGCACACTTGCCGGAGTAACGAGACTGGACGAGCTCGCTTTCAAAGGTAATTTTCTGTTGGTCAATATATGTTGGCTTTCATGTTACTCATCAATGGGATCATAAGGCATTGACAGGTGGTTGTCATATATTAAAAACAGTATGTGCATCCGGTCAAAAGGATACAGCATACGACTGCCGCACTGGCAGGGTTTGTCCCCGAGTTTGCACCCCGAGTTCAGAGGATAGCGGAAGCTGTCCTCTATTATCATCAGAGAAGTGAGTTGCTTGTGAACTATGTGACTCAGAACGGCTTTGACTGATGAATGTATACCATTAAACCGGTCTTCTTTGTGTCTTATGATATTTTTACTCCTTTTTCCTATGTTTAAGTTATTTGACTATTCTACCGGTACATGCTGTAACATTTGACGATTGTGTAGTGATAATACAACAGTAGATGTGTCACTGAGTGTCAGTTAGTGTTAAAAAGTCATTCTTGTGTTACAAAGATTTATGGGCTCCTATCACACTATAACTCTTCTGTATAAAAAGTGTGATAACTTGTTATATTTGTCAAGTCATTATCAACAAGTTGTTTACTTATTTCTTTTTCCCTTTTTTTGGAGGGGGTGGGGGTGGGGGCGATAACAGGAACACGCAGAGGGTAAATTCTTGACACGAAGTGAAACTTTGAACAGGCTTCTTACACTCATTAATCTCTTCCAGGCGGTCCACTTGGTGAATTAGTACAGTGGTCTGATTTAGTGACGTCAATCTATATTCTTGGTCATGACATATTCTTCTTCACTGAATTAAATCAACTTTACAGGTGAGTTTTTTTGTCCGATTTTAAATATACATTCCTGTTAAAAACGTACGGAACATTCCTAAAACTAGTTAATTTTTTCTAAATTACACTGTGGCAGACGTCAGAAGACCGTTATATTGATATTTCTGGCTTAGCAATGGCAGTTGAAAATGTTCAAGTTACGGAAGTTGAACAAACTCCGCCAGCAATGCACAATACGTTATATATATACCCAAACAAAATATCAAAAGTGAAAGGTCGCGTGAGCATACCAAACGTGTCTCTGTCGGTCTAACGTGTAATTGGGGCATATTAAAGGGGGATAAAGCATTTTAGTACAGTATACCTCAGCGATGAACAAGATTAACAATGCAGTTTTGATAATTTAAATTGAAAGAAATATTCCTTTATCTGTTGGAATATATCATACTTTGTAGTACGCGTGTCCCACTTTCAATTTTATTTTTGATTCAAATATTTTATGTAAGAATAATTACGAAAAATGCTCATCCATTTCCACATTTTACCTGTTCGTATCCATATACAATACAAACTACAGTCCATCGTCATGTTTACAGAAAAACGCTTTTTATTGACAAAATGAGAAGATGCTGATATTTTAATTTTATATTAAAAAAAACTGATATTTAAACAACTGTGAGATATAGCGTAACGTATCCCAGTTTACATGTACCATGTCGAAACCTAAGCACGTAGAATTTACAGCAACACTATACGGGGGAAATACTGTGCCTTACATGTATATATGTAAAATATACACCAAATATTGGAATCTGCCCTAGCCTTGAAGATTGTTATAAAAGTGAAATAATAACAGTAATGATAATAATAAAATCATACTTTGAGATGAGAAGGAACTGTTAATAACAAAATGTAATAAAAAGATAATGAGAGTTAACTGATTTAAAGTTTAGATTTAAAACGAAAAACGGCTAAATGATAAAAACCTTTTAAATAGCAATGTACTGGGTATAAGACAGAATATTATATCGTAACATGTCAATGAAAAACGAGCATTATTCATGTCCCCATTTCACTTCCAGACAATTGGCTGATGATGGTGGAGACGTTGATCTTGACTGGAGCCATCGACGACTGCCTTTTGACATCATCTTCACCGACATCAACGGGTTAAAACTGATGACCAGATTCTTGAAAGTCGACACCATATCAGGTCCCAACAGGTCAGTTTTTCTATGTGAACAAATGTCGGGTAACTGTAAAAAGTCCGAACGTGAAATTTCCATTAACCAAAAGATATCCTGTTACCTCGAAACGCTTAGCCTATCCCAGCCGCCTGTAATACGTTCTTGGACTATTTTTGATTACACAAGTGAGCTGATGCAACTAAATCTATTTACTGTTTAAACTATTTAATAGTGTTGTTTTTAAATGATAAAGACTTACATTTCCAGGTGCTTATTTCGTGTGCTGGATTCTTTCGGAACTGAGGCCGTGTTTAATTTTGGCCCCTACACCAAGGAGAAAAAACTGAACGGTTATTGGAACCCTATCGACTTGGAGCTGCAGCAATTTTTTACAATGTTCCGTGAGTTCTAGGAGAGAGAGAGAGAGAGAGAGAGAGAGCGAGCGAAAGCATGGTATGCGACAGAAGTAACGCTAAAACTATCACAATATATCACTTCATCAAATTATGATCGGTAGGAAATAGAAAACTTCAGTGTTTGAAAAAAAAAAACATTTCCATCAATGGCTCGACCTCAGTGTCACTTTAGAAAAAAATATTATCTTCAATTAAAATGTCAAAATTTATTTATTGATAATAGAAGTGGCCATTGTCATTACAGCTCACACTGTGGACAATTCCTTCATGGGGTTTGTGATAGAGAGACCATCCGTGGACAACAACGGGACAATAGAACGACACAATCAAGCTTTAATCTACGCAAAACGGGACGGATATTTCATAGTAGGTGGAATAGTGTGTCACGCCAGTTATAAGCATAGAAAGCAGAACAGGGACAAAGGGGGACGACCCAAGGCGCTATTTTTTCAAATGTTTAGATCCCACCCCATTTCAAATGGGCTATAATATGGCTGGATCAGTAATACCTGTCAGCACATTACTTGGATAATGCACTGGGGTATGAAACGTGTATATTAGTTTATCTGAGGCATACATTTGATAATTTAAGCCCCCTTTACACTGAACGGCGTTCTCTCTGCGTCTCATAGTACGGCCCCGTTTGAGATTTAAAAAAATAATAATACTTTACTTGCCGACAACTGGCATTGAGCATTCATTCTGCAACCAAAGCAATGCTTGTGCCTCCTTTCTACGACCGCAGCGATGCCAGTTTTATGGTCGCACAAAGTACGCAGAAAGGACGCCGTCCAGTGTAAAGGGGGCTTAACGTACTTGCTCACATTTCTCGTCTGGTAAGTGATTTGATGCAGAAACGCAATGTACGTTCTGAGGATGGAACAACCTTCATTGAGCCCTGATACATAACTTTTTGAGCACCTGCTTTATGACTTAGACCCCATTCCCAGAGATTAGATCGATCTAAACTAGATCGACCTAACTCCCTGGGGCTTCACGCTAAATAGCTGTCAGCCGAGCGGGCACGAAAGTTAATTACCCCCTTACAGCTTGTAGTAGGCGGGACGGACATTTAAGCCGGATTATCTGACAGTAATCTAGTGAGACTCCCCACGGGGATAGATCGATCTAAATGTCTGGGAATACGCCCTTAGAGTTCATAATTGTGTGTAAATTTCGTGACAATTGGTAGTGTCTTTTTAAATCTATGGACATTTTACCTCTCTGGAAAACACTGTGGACCATACGATTAACAAGATGTAAGGGGTGCATGCTGTAAATTTGAATAGATGGTATAAATTTAGGATATCTTCACCGGTATTTTGCATTTCTGTACCGTGTGTCATGTTCGATATGGTGTCTGGAATAAAAAGGCACTATTTAAAATGGTTTACAGCTGTGATGTGATCGTTTGTAAAACAAAAACACGTGGAATTGGAGGTGGGACAACCTTTTTGACCAAGGGTGTATTTCCCATAGACACAAAAACACATTTATACATGTAGGCCGGCGAATAATATAATATCATCTGATATATCTGATTTTTATGTACAGCAACAGGTGTGTCTGTACATAAAGCCGTCACCTGCGTCTGTCGTCGTTGTGCACTTTCAGATATAATGCGACAGGTAGAAAACCGTTTGACTTATTGTCTTCAAAATATCACAACTAACGCATATTCATATAGTACAGACCAAGTTCGAAAACGAACTTGATGGGACCATTTTCCAAAAGGAATGTTTTTTTTTGCTTTTTAAACATGTATATGCAAAACATATAGCATATTTCAATGGAAACCGATAGGCCTATTTTTCTCACAGGAATGGTCAACATTACTAAAATGTATATTTTGTGATTATGCTGTTTAGCATTATATAACATTGCATCAAAATTGACGAAAACCCTATTTTGGGAACTGCCACCGTACTGACGATTAAAAGAAAACCGTGTTACTTATGATTCTCTAACTTACCAAAAAGATTTATAGGACTGAACTACCTGTACAGCTTGAATTGGAAAATCAGTCCTATTGAGGCGAATTAGAACTCTCATGGGCCTGAAGCCTTAAGCTACCGGTAGTTACATATTCCTAGCATACGTGTTACCTGTTGTAAATAATTAAAACTTGGTGTCGACTTAGCTACACAGTGTATTATTGCATCAAAATTGACAAAATAACTTATTGTTTATGACATATTTTCTGCTTTTTGTCTGTACGTTTGACAGCTTTGCTGTCTTTTATTGTTTCATTACATAACATTAATCATTACCAGGGTAAAAAGCCATATCTAGATGTTATCCACGAATTTTTGGAAATCCATGCGACATCTGCTAAGATGGAGGGTTTTGACAAAGAAAACGTCACCTACACTCCAGAGTATGCGGTGAACCACGGACTACTGCATGGGCCAGATTATTACAAATTACTTTATCAGTCTAAGGTAATGGTGCTATGAAGGCTGGTTGAATATTCCTTGGCGGATCAAGGAATTTTTCTAGTCTGGGCGTTGGATGGGGGGATGGGGGGGGGGGGGGGCGCAAGGATATATTTTACCGTGTATTGTTCCTCAAATATAACAAAATATATCATTAAATATTAACTAATCAAATATATAAGCTACGCCCAAGCTACGGCTTTTACACCTTCGCCAGGGACTCGTATTTTTCATGTTTTTTTATTAGTTGATCTGTATGGATGCCAATTATATTGAATATTATAAATCCTCGTAGTCTGTACTAATCAGATAGAACCCCGGAATTCCTTTCCTAGGACTACCGTTTCTGTCACAAAGGCTTTCTGGTACATGATAACGGGCTTGTCATTTTCCACACTTTAGACACATTTTTGATCAATAACTCTAGTGCCACTAATATAAAGTAAATCACACAGAATTGTGCATTAAAGATATTACTGTAAGTTGAATGTTCCAACATAGAATCGTAGAAAAACACCTTGTGTTACGTTGCACAATAATAGTGCATGCATTCATTATATTATGTGTCTTTTCTTTCCTCCTATAAATCAATATTTGACCGTTTTTTCCACTTATTCCAGCTATTCGTAGGCCTGGGGTTCCCCTACGAGGGCCCAGCACCTCTGGAGGCCATTGCAGCCGGCTGTGTCTTCATCAATCCCCGGTTCTCACCTCCGCTAAGTCGCAAAAACTCTGCCTTTTTTAGCGGTAAACCAACATTCAGAGAGGTAAGGTTAGGAATGGCCTTTAGGAGTGAGAACACACACACACGCGTGCGCTTGGAGGTTCGCAAAAATGAGCCGACGATACAATAAATTGTTATAGGTGTAATATAAGAGGTGGCAAAATACAGCAGAAGAGTTTTTAAAGCTATACGTCAATTTATATTCATATGTTATGATACTGAGTACAACGAAAATCGAAGTATTTATATATAATTTATATATCAAGTGTATAGAACAAAAGGAGTAAAGTCTTACACATTATTCATTGTGTACTATTTTTAAAAATTGATGGAAAACATCGTTTGTTTGTTACACTTCAGATAACAAGCCAGCATCCCTATGCAGAACATTTTATTGGAGAACCATCCGTGTATACTGTAGATGTAAAGAATTTAACTGCAGTTCGGGAAACGCTGAAAACGGTTCTTGCTCAAAAGAAGGTAAATATGTTCTTAATCGGTCTTAACAAAATTTTCTTAATTAATTCATTTTCACATTTACAAACGTTGCAAAGTAAATGAAGTGTTATTATTTTGAACTTCAGATAATGAACCAAATTATCAAAACGATATTTCATATTTTTGCTGTTATTCATATTATGTGATAATTACCTCATTTTTTAATCGATACGTCCGACGAATTTTTCTTTTATGAATACAAGGTTACGGTTTCACCTAACACATTTTAAAGAGGTCTGACGTTATTTCCAGTGATGGTTGCTTTCGATGGTTGCATTCAATGCAGAAAATGTTTCAATTAATTCCTGGACGTGTTTCAGAGCTGAATTTATCTTTGAATTAATATATTTATCATTGATTTGGTCACGTGGATGTCACATAAACGTCGTCATATCACCAGCGCCTTTTTTCTTGGTTTAGGTCCATCCTCACGTGCCATTTGAATTCACAGAAGCGGGCATGTTACAAAGAATGAGCTTTTACATCGAGAACCAGGACTTCTGTTCAAGACCTTACAGGAGTCACATACCGGCCACAGACGTGACCTTCTTTCTCAGTGACCTCAGCGAGTCTTGTACCGACAGTTGCCATAAACACGGTGAGCACTGACCGCTGGTCACTTCAGATAGCCACAATTATTTATACAGGTTTGAGATATACTTGATATTGCTGCTAATGATTGATACACAGTTACATACAAAATTTGAATCTATTCATGGGTTTCTATGAAGTATTTTTCAATATGGATACATGTAATAGCTATGACTTTCAACATCATACTCGTTATTTATGAAATTGTTTTACCCGGTAAATTGTCTAACGTGGATATGTAGTCTTCTGTAGAAGAACCTACATTTAACCAGTATACGTACATCCACATGCATGTAAAAGTTAAAATTGAGTTACGAGCATACATGCGGTTTTAATACAGCGGATAAATAGTTACAGTGGCCGTATTTGAACTAAGGCCACACTTTTTTATTTTTATGGATGACATCCTGCGCGCGCACCGATTTTCGTCTGTTCTCCGGAAAAAAAAAAAAAAAGATCACCTCTAACGACGTCAGTTGTCGCAAATGTCGTTATTGAATTTGCAAGCAGAGGAGCTTTCTGTGCATGCGTATTATCGCCACGTGGAAATATGGCCGCTTTGCCGTCAAATTCATCTCTAGGATTACTTTCAAATTACACGACAATTAAAGTCATAAAGAGAACGGGGGCCGTCGTTTGGATTGGTATGGCATTGATATTGGGCATGGAGATATCACAATTACAATTATACGAAAGGCTGGCGGCGGCCAGCGATTATCGTCTGGTAAATTTTAGTGACATTCTGTCCAAAGCAGCACAGCACATACCATGTTTTTTGTAGCGAAAAAAGGGTCGACAAGGAATTTTTTATTTTTATTTTGGACTGTTTTTTGTTTCGCCCTCTCGCACCGATTTCGGTGTCAATAGAAGATGTCATCCATAAAAATAAAAAAGTGTGGCCTAACGGAACTACTGTATTTCACTGACAATATACTCGTACATATACTAGTATTATAAGCATTGTGTCAGCCCGCCGTGTATGATTGGGGTTATTCAGAATAAAATATCCGAGCATCAACTGATCCAAGGATCAAATATGGCGGACCCTACATGAAAGGAAGACCGCTAAATCCTGTAATGTTCGTCCCTGCAGGGGCACAGTAATTAAATCTCGGCTCCATTCAACCAGACGCACGGGGAGGCGTGTGAGAGGCGGAGAGACCGTTACAGGATTAAGCGGTCTTCCTTGCATGTATGGTATATTTCATTGCATATTTGAGCCTTGGACCAGTTGATACTCGGATCTTATATTCTGAATGGCCACAATGGCCCCATAGGGGCGAATCCAAAAATATATGCTGACAGTCTTCCAAATGATATTTGTTGATCCATCCTACATTTTTGACCGTCTGCCAAGAAAAATAAATAAGTAAATAAAATAAAATAAAATAAAATAGATTCCCGTCAATGTAAAACTTGAGAAATTCTGATCGTCTTCCAGAATACCCAAACACCTTCCCCCCTGCTAGAACAAGGAACAAGTTTTCCCCATTTCGAAGTATTGGCTTTTTAAAGTTATTTTATTGAATAGATTCTTTTAGGGTTGTCTGTAGTAAGATTTTTCATCATCATTTTAGGTCTAACGTGTGAACCTAGTCATTTCAACAGAACCAACAGTCCAGTCACCGTTCAGAAACTGAGCTTGCACTGCAATAAATCGACATTTGGTGCTGATCCAATATTCCCATCTGTCTCTAAATCGACGTGTAACTTCCAAATAGAGGACATGCTTTTCAGTTGTGCCGGAAGCGGTGCTGATCATCGCAGGATATGCCCTTGTCGGACGTTTAAGAAAGGGCAGTGGGCCCTGTGTGAAAGTTGCCATTGAACACTATTGATATTTATTACGTAGCCTTTAGGCAATTACTTTTTATTAATTTTTATCAATTTTATCAAATTTTCTTGTTGTAAAGGTTTTTAGCTTCGTGTGCACCTATGTTCCTTGTCCAGTTTTATTCACCACGGGGTGACCAAAAACTCTGTAAGATACAGTTTCAGGTTAGTGTAGAAAATGAAAGGTTTAATCTTACAACATAATCAGTTTTTGGGCTTTAAATCGATCCTTATTGCAAAAGCGGCTCCAGGCAACATTCAGCCTAAATAATTTAGATGCAAAAGGAAATACAATGACTTCTCAATATAGTAGCGGTATAAGATTTTCCTGTAATTTATGGAATATAACTTATTGTATCTGTGATAATTATCATAGAGTTAAACATGTTGATTTAAGTGCTTTGTTGCCAATTTTTTTTTGCTATTGGCGATGTGGTAATTTAGCTCTACTATGGCGTAGTGGTTGAAATGATTTGGCCATCACATAACCAGTACATAGGGATGATACGTTATATGGGGAATAACTGGAATTACGTCCACATGCGCCATTTATTAATCTCTTCGGTACAACCAAACATTTTGCGAGCCTTCTTTAGTAACACTTTAAAGTGGGGATCAATAGTACGCGCGTGATACAAGTGAGCAAAAACAATAAACAGAAAATTGTTTTCGGTTGAATTCATGCCAAGGTCAAACAAAAGTTAGTAAGAAGTACAAACTGCAAATATAAGGGGGTTCAACATAAGCCACTGCATTTCAGTCTCTGATTCATTACTGTGATCATTTAACCGTGCTTAAGTTCAGCTTATCCTTACTATATGTAAAAATGTATTATAAGGAAACAACACGACGAAAAAAAGGTTTTGATAAAAGTGCTTCTTGGTAAAAAATAATTTTCATGGGTATGTCGATCCCCCAATCCCAAGTGTTTTCGGGTCCAATTACCTACGTACACGTGGGCAACCCAGTAGGGGATCTATTGTTAAGATAATTTGCCGCTAATTGGTCAGAAGAAGAGGGTGACAGAGGCCACTGAAACCGCGTGTAGATTGCTCACACTGGCGCACGTCACTCGTGGTCCTAATGTAGATCATGGACATAATAAGATATATTTACTTATACGTTTCATTTTGTGCAACATTTTATCACGAAAACGTCCAAAATTTATCCATTTTGTTGTTTTTATAATGGAATTGCTTCATTCCTTTCTTTATCATTGCTAGTACATCTTTATTTAATATCATTGTATCTTGCTTAAATTTGCGAAACGTTTAATGTCAGGAACCAATTATTTTTACATAAAGAATCCTATAAAAATTAATATGTATACTTAGAAATATATGCATTTTTCTGCAATTTAGGTCTTAGGGAATTGTGTGTAAATGAATTTCCCACCTGCACGTGTACTCTTATGTACATGTACTTACTTTTTGCCATTGTTATTCTACATTCCTTTTTATCATTTTAAGCAAATAAATATATTTTTCTGTCTTTTCTAACTTTTCTCTTGTTTTAATCAGTCAATAAATTCTGATAAATTCACTGAAAGACACCATTTTATCGGATTAATCTGTTTTTATTAATATGTTGTTTATCTGTTTGTTCACTTTATTTATGAAGTCAGTCTTGACGTCACAACTATTGTTAAGATGCATTTTTTAATCACCACATGATGGTGAGTCCCAGTTGTATCGAGACAAAGGGCACAAACGAAGCCGGACAGAACCCTTGTACCACTCACGAGGGTTCAAATAGTAAAAGCTTGTCAGAATTTATATCACATTCCAAGTGCAAAGTAGGCTATATCGTACAGTGTTTCTTAGCGAATGTAAATAAATTAATATTATTAAATGTGCTTATATACATGGCTAGCCAGATAACCAAAATAACACGAAGTATTATTTTTTATAACCTTTTATATTTTTTAGCTTACTCCTCATTGAATAAACATAATTTTTTTAATGAGAAGAATAAAGAAGCGAGCGTCAGACGAGACCCCCACTTAGGTCCTCCCCCAGTCAGCGCTCCCTGTAGCTATAAATTGAGCTCTACTTCCCTGTAAAGTCATTCAAAAAGAAGTCAACCAAGAGTAGAGGTTGCTCCTGAATTGTAATAGTGGTTCATTCACAGACCGCAGCAACAGAAACCAATTGTTTAGAAGTCACGCCGAGAGTTGAAGACACGCCAGACATTTACTTTCGTCATACGAAGTTTAAGTAAAAATGATTACATTGAGTATGCTATTATGTGGAATTTTAATTTCCAGTGGGGAGGTAAGCTTCAAGGTCACATACTTGCACATTTTACTTTCTTATTCAATTAATTTGGTCATAGTTTATTAAATGGGTATTTTTGAACGTGCATATTTCTTATTTTAAAGAATGCCTTAATAATTTTCGTGGGTATTCCTTTGTATATTTTCAACTTTTCGTTACTTTATTTGAATTTATCTCTCTATATATTTACTTATTTGATAATCTAGAAATTAACGTTCCTTACTCATGTACCGAGAATATAAGACCCCATTCCCACAGATTTTAGATCGATCTATCCCTGTGGGGAGTCTCATTAGATTACTGTCAACTTAGCCGGCTCAAATGTCTGTTCCGCCTACTAAAAGCTGTAAGGGGGTAATTAACTACCGTGCGCGCTCGGCTGACAGCAATTTAGCGTGAATCCCCAGGGAGTTATGTCGATCTAGATGGATCGATCTAAATCTATGGGAATGCATTCTAAGACTGCATTCCCATAGATTTAGATCGATCCATGCGCACGGTCACACACGGTCAGGCCGGACAGACATTCAAGCCGATGTGAAGGGAATGGATGTCCGCCGTAATGCATGTCCGTAGGACATGTATTCCTAGGAGTGAATGTCCTGCGGACAGTAAGTCCTGGGAATGCATGTCCTGTCTCTTCCATTCCAAGGAACGCATGTCCTAGGACATAATTTCCTGGGATTTAACGTCCAGTGGACACCCATTACTTAGTATTCTAAGTCCTGCAGACAGGTATCGATGTCCTAGTCGGACATATTTTCCCAGCTAGACTAGTAATAAATGTCCTCTGACATTTTCATATGAATGATGTGTTAATTTCAGAAGATTTAAACGTGATGTTTAAGAATGTTCTTATGCTTATTATAATTATTTGTATATATGTACCCCTATACACACTTTATTCGGCTAACTTTTGATATTTTAAATAAACGAAAAACTACAAATTAGTACTAGATTTAGGATGTATATATAAACGGCCGGTTTACATCCATATATATTATTTCCGATTAATATGAAAAATATGAGATTCGCGCCATTCACTGCACCTTGTGAAATATCTCGGCCTCTTCACATTACATTAATGCCTTAATATGTTGTTATGGACCTCCGTTCCTGGGGGACATGCATTCCTTTCACGGACATGTTCCTACACGTTCCTACGGACATGCATTACGGCGGACATCCATTCCCTTCACACCGGCTTAGTTGACAGTAATCTAGTGAGACTCCACACAGGGATAGATCGATCTAAAATCTGTGGGAATGGGGTCTAAGTCATTCACCTATTTTAATTGGAGGCTGTCTAATCACATAAAGTTTGCTACATTTATCTATCATTTGGGAACAGACATAAATTATTTTAATGATGACAATGATACCTTCACTTGTTTTACTATAGGTAAGATAATCAATAGCCATTATTTCAATTACACGCACACACACACGCACACACACACACATATATAGGACGTTAAGACATTCAAACCCAAGGATCGAATAAATGTGAAAAATTAGCTTAAAAAGTCAAAGAACTGTGGAGGCTATACCCCCCCTCCCCAAGCCCTGAATACGTGAGCACAATATAGATGGAGGTCGACCGGTTCTCATACCAAACTCGCAAGTGAACGTATGTTTGGGGATATATGTATCTGCATTCTCCCCGTCTCATTCTCGTGGTACTTAATGGAAGTTATAGAAGATATTTTATTTACAGGTCAGGGCCGACTCACCGCCAGGGCGGGGTGATTTGAGGTCAGGGACCCAAACTGTGAATAAAGGCACGTCTAAAAGTAAGCACGGAATCGATGACAAGTTATAATTTCTTTTTTACCCAGCGTCTTCGATTTGGAGGCAAATAGCTGCGAGCCAATCCTACCCCTGTGATAAATGTTCAAGACAGTAAGCACCGAAATCGGACCATTCTCAGTTAGGAAAATATCAAACTTTAAGTCACAAATGAATAAGGCCTCCACGATTCAATAAGTACATTACGTGCACCAGTAAATACAGATAAGTCACGCGGGACGTGACACTGACATACACGTACAGTAGCTGTCAATTATTATTTACTGGCTATCTAACAATCGAAGCTAGCATTTAAACAGAGAAATAGTTACGATCGCAAGTACTATACCACAAATGATTCAGTTAACAGCGGTTTCAATTTTTATGGTAGTAGCATAGAAGCAGTAGAAAGAACGATATTACACGTGTGATTATACAGTTTGATACCTGTGACTCCATACGTATTGCAACTCAACGTATTGCAACTCAAACGTGGCTGAAATGTGCGATGCGTTATTTTCTAGATATGTAAGTTAGATGTATGTAGGCCTACGGCTACTACTGGTAGTAACAACTAGGGTGAAATAAAACAGATTCAGGCATTTTTAAACGAATGAATAGCTCGTTATGATACAATATGATATACTGAACGACATCACCACTTTTGAGTCGGGTTTATAAGTTAAATTTCTCACGCGCCTTTTTATTTCAGTTTGTGGAGATCCTCTGGATATCATCTTCGTTATCGATGGTTCCTACAGTATTTGGAGTCCGCATTTCGTTAAGCAGAAGGAATTTCTCCGAGGCTTTGTTGAAGAGTTCAACATTGAAAGAGACGGCAACGGAACACGTATTGGCGCCATTGTTTTTGCCGACAACACAGAAGTTGCATTTAATCTCAAAGACCATTTCAATAAGGATGACCTGTTCGAGGCTATAGACAGGATAACACAGATCGGTAAGTAGCATGGGTGTAGAAAACCCCTTTGTTGATGCAAGAAGTTATAACTTCTTGGTTGATGATATGTGTATACCTGCACACGCCCCACCTAGTGTTACTTCTTCTATCTCCTATTACGCCATAATTACGACGTATTGATATTTCCACCTAGTGCAATCACACATATTTTGGGTTGATAAAAATATCCCGAAATTTTGAGGTTAATTACCACTTTTCTGTGATAACAAAATGAAAAGTCTCCCCCTGTCACATAAAAGTATTGCTTCTACACATTATATAGCCTATCTGTTGTAAGATCTTTGTGGCACGGTGGTCAATTCAAAATCTTTGTACAAATATACATGGTAATTCAGACTAACGCTAACCATTAAAACTATATAGAGGGCGGATTTTCTGTTACATGGACCCTCAGTTTCGTTACACCGGCAGTACCCGTCACACCGCATATATGCCATGCATGCCATTGTGTATTGAATACCACGTGGTTATAAATAAAACTACATGTATTTAGTCTTTGTGTATCAGAAGAGGTAAAAAACGTGACTTGTTAAATAGAATTATGATGAATTGTGATGACTAATTTTCGAAACTGTTACCGTATTTTATCCATCCGATATACGATATTTTTGTAAATATCTGTAAATACATCGTGTGATACTTACCATACTGTGCATGTGTCCTTCATTGTAACGTATTTATTTTCTATGGAATTCAGGCGGTGGCACTCACACTGACAAGGCTTTAATAAAGGTGCGAGAAGAAATGCTTCTACCATCGAACGGAGCGCGTCTTGGTAAAGTTCCGCAGATCATTATCGTGATGACAGATGGCGTCTCCTGGGACCCGAATGAGACGAAAAAGGAAGCGGAGCGTCTGCACAATGGTCAATATCCGGCAAGAGTTATTTCAATCGGAATAGGATTACAGGTAATAAAGTGAAGGAAAACGTTCGTAGCAAAACGACTGGACAGACTGAAAACTTGATTAAATTCACTGCGATGAAACGCTATGTGAACTTCAGAAAATCGCGGCACGCTTACTGTTTTTCACTGTTTGTTGGTTCTGCCAATAATATTCTTCGTTGACGTTTAGTTCCAGATAATCGAAACTTCATTACTATGACAGAATTGAACTATCATTGTACAGGCCTGTAGGCAGCAGTTTCTAAAGTTTCTTGTTCTGAAAAATGGAATGATGCCATCATGTAGCTAGGTAAAATTATACCAGGATGGGAACTTTTCCCTGCAAAAAAGGGGTTCTTTTGAACCCCCCCGCCCCGAACCCCCCTGGCTACAAGCCCGTTGTAATACAATATAACCGTCAGCTTCCATGTTTTGCACAGTTACGTTCCATTTCCAGGTCGACCAAAACGAAATATATGCTCTATCAAGTTTACCAAAGGAGAAGAACGTGTTTACAGTGACGAGTTATGAGACACTCCAGGAAATCAAGAATGACCTCGCCATTCGCACTTGCGAAGTTAAATCCCCGGAAATGGAGTGGACAGGTGCGTGCTTTGGTGACGTCATATTCAACAGTTACCAGTGTTGCTTGAGCAGTTTCGTCTAAACGACGATTTTCCCATACTTTTCAATGGTTATTGAATCTGTTCCGACATTCCGACAAGTTAGTCGTTTTTAGTGCGGTTTTCGTAATAATTTCTTAAGAGACTCTTTACCCCCGCCTTCTTAAGAGTTTATTACGGAGGGTAGTCATCTACATGTGTATGAAGGTCCACTTGGGCCAATGGTAAGCACAAATTTCGGCGATAATCGCCGTTTTGGTGGTAAAATGGAATAAATTATATTTCCATGCATTGTGCACAGTGTAGTGATGGTTGAATTTTGAATCTCAGAGTTGTTTTCCCTCAAAGTGAATTATTCCCGTCATATTATCATTTTTCCAAATTTAAATTTTATTCCATTAAGGTTTTCAATTCTGCAACAAAACTACACAATGGTTAAGCTGGAAAAGTTTCTTTTCAGACTGTGGGATAAATAGAACTGTAGATGTCGCCTTCGTGCTGGGAGAGTCCACAACCACTACGCCGGAGTCCACCGCACAAATCCTCGGGTTCGTCCGGAACCTAACGAGTCGATTCACGATCGGAGACGGAAAAATTCGGGTCGCTTTGGTACCGGCTGATTGCAATAACCCAGGGTTCCACCTTAGCAGATTTAATGATAGACAATCAATCTTTTCTCACTTGGATAATTACAGGGTGAGTATACATGATTTCTTTTAAACGGCAGGAACACAGCAGCATGGTCTGATGTAGTCCGGAAATAGCCTGGTTTATTACCCAACGAATCATTTAAACACAATGAAGAATTCGCTTTCGAGATATACCAATACATGTAGTGTAATGACTATACCGTACACAGCAAAAAACGATGTTCACATTATGTACATATATCTTATCATAAATTCTAAATGTTATGATAAAAACGTATTTTGATTAATTTCAACACTATTGCACTATACCGTACACAGCAAAAACTATCTTCACATTATGTACATATATCTTATCATAAATTCTAAATGTTATGATAAAAACGTATTTTGATTAATTTCAACACTATTGCAGATGGACGCTCCCACTAACGCAGGTCGACTGCATTACTTGCGCACAGTGACGTTTACATCGGCTAAAGGTGCGCGTGACGGTGTACGTAAACTGGCCATCACAGTTCTCACCAACAAGTCACGTAATGTCAACGCAACCATAGCGGCTGCTGAGGAAGCAAAGGAAGCCGGGATAGAGATGATCGCCATCGGCATTGGGGATGAAGTAGATACAGACGAGCTGCATGGGATCGCCTCCACGACCAATAGAGTGTTCCGCCTCCTGGATTACAACGCATTCCGCGTGCGTATCAGGAGGTTGCTGTACAAAGTGATCTGTAAAGGTAAGTTGTCTAGATCTACCGAAATTTTCAAGTGGCGTCTTGCGTGTGAAGTTAATTTCAGACGATTGATATTTAATGATATTACCCATCTTAGTTTTTTTTTAAATCGAAAGCATTTAATTACACCTGCTTATTTGCAAATTATGCCAACACATTTCAACATTATTTTGACATATTTTACTTTCTTTCGGTCAATGGATGGCCCTAAGTTAAACATGATGAAGACACGAGACGACAGACGATTATGAAAATGTATAAAAATGTAAAAGTGAATAGCTGGGCAATTTCTTTATCATTTTAATAAAACTTTTAGGTGAAACAACCCCTCATCCGGCAACGACTGAACCGCCAGTTTTTCCGACAGTCTGCCTCCCTGTTACTCCGCCATCTCAACAATAAGTGTCACGTTTCTACTACAAGCGGCATTGACATGCAAGACAAGACCACTCACCAATATTGTTTAAGCGCATGACACCGGGAGAAAACTTGCGCTGTTCCGGGGTCGTTACCATCTACAATTAGCGCAATTGCTAGACTACGTGTGTTTATTTCTACAATTTTCTCAGTTGCTGTTAACCATCACTTCCGGTTCAGAGGCACATCTACACATAATGCCACAGATTAAGTGGGATTGATTACAAGGAAACTTTTAAAACTGCTTATAAGCTGTTGATAGGTATATAGATTGGTGGATAGATACATACATATAGATAAAAAGAAAGATCTAATTATTTTATTCTAATGCACCACTGTAATGATTAATAATTGTAATCTATTACTTATAATAACACATCCAATGAGGGTGAAATTATAATAAAAGATAAAAATTGTCAGTATTAATTGCACAACAGTTTATTTAGCATCAGTACGGGTTTCATAACAAGTCACACTATATATTGTCTTTCACACAGCAAGGCTTGTGTCACAGTATGTCTTTATAGTTGTCAGTATTATAAATGTCTGGTTATCATATAAATATGTAAAGTTTGGAATTCTTTTTCCGTGGTGAGTATATTGCATACAGCTTACATGTACCTGTAGATCCATATTGTGATACAGTAGTGAAGTAAGTGAAGTTCATCTATCATGTTACAGTACTGACAAACTGTTTTAAGTATCTTTTAATACACGTGCCATGTAGCACTGGTTCAATAATAACGATAAGAGCACTATAACTTTTAAGCCTGGTCAATGCAGGCACTCGGGAAACATACAATATCTCATGTAACCAACTTTATGAAAATTTGCAAATAAATATGTCCGCGTAATTTTACCAGTTTTATATTGTTTTGATAAACCAGTGGATTCTTTGGCTTTAAGTTTATATTAACAATCAAGGACTGGGTTCCTATCCCTAGATTGATCTAACAGGATCGGTCCATCTCCACGGGGTTTCGCGCAAAATTGCTTTCAGCTTATGTAGCTTAGATGTCTGGCACGCCTGCTAAAGCTGCTAAACGATAGTTAATTACCCCCTATCAGCTACAGTAGGCGTGACAGACATTTAATCCGCTTAAGTTAATTGCAATTAAGCGAGTCTCTAGGCAACTCCAGTCGGCACAGGTGGCAATATGTAATTACAGTTGTGTTATTGGATATATAGTTGAAAATGTATTAATACATGTTGTAACTTACGTTTTTCACGGTTACCGGCCGATAATGTCCAAAGACCCAGACTGTACACATGTACGATCAAACCCGTCTTCGAGCTCTTGATTTCTAAACTTTCCGTTACGAGTCACTTGTCCTATGTCCATAACTCGAAAATGTCTCAAAGAAAGAGGACTTTATTTAATCAATTAAAATTCACCCCACATTAACAATACTACAAACCGTGGCTTTTCCCCAGAGCGTTTTCCCTACGTAATATCGTTTTCCCCATCTCTTTATACTCAATTAACTCAAGATGTTTTGGTTGTAATAAAAGAGAAAAAAAACATAGATGAGTAAGTGCATGTCACTGTCGTGTACTAGATTCGTTGGGAAAAAAGGCGCAAAACCAGGGAATATAGGGGGTTTAAGCCAACACAGAAGGGAAACAGTTTGGAATAGCACGGACATTAAAAGTGATAATAAATCGGGTGCGTCGCTCTCCAAGGCAATTTTGTTTTTGCCACAACTTAGTCTTCTCTAACACAATCATGTTCCTGCTACCCACCTTTTCCTCAACCGAGATTCTTATTCAAATGAGGTGACATCCAGGTGACAGGTATTCAGGAAGCCATGATGGAAGGAACGTGGTGATGGTTCCCGTCGTTGAAACATGATATATCTAATGCTACCTGCAAGAACTGGCCATGACAACTTGTAAGTACAACTAATGTGTTGCTTTTCTCACTACTGTAACAAAGACGGGATCTGAAAACGTTCGATTAGGATGGATAATTTCAAAATTGTACTTTTATATCAGGTTCTCCGCACCGTTTGTCATCGAATCTCCCACGCAGCAAGGTCATGTTTGGACAGTTTATATGAATTACGGATTGAAATACTGTGTTTACTTTGAATTCTCGAGACATTCACAAGAAGTTGAGTCTTGAAATAAGATTAAAATATAACTCGTTTAGTAAAACTTGCGCAAAGAGAAATGCGAGCTTTTTAACACTTCAGAATTGATACTGCATTGATTAATTGCAAGGTCGAATTAATAATTCCTTATCTACCTTATTTTTCATCTCTTCCAGTAGTCAGTGCATACAACAGAGGAAGATGTTTTTCCGCCGAGAAGTTACATGTACATCACTTCAAATGTACCTCTTGGTTTCAATAATGCTGAGTACATGTTAACAAGACAAACGTAGTTGTGCATATGCAAGTTTAAAAACGTGATAGCGATAGCAGAGAAAATGTACATGTTATTACACATTTTAGAATCATAATTTTAAAGGACAAGGTACATGTACGCACGTTATGCCAAAATAGGTACGTCTGTCAAGCAATGCATGTTTGATTTAAAAAAAAACCCCGGCAAATTTGAGTTTGTTCATCAAAGTTTTATGTCAAAACACACATGCACTATATACTGCAAATGAATCCAGCAATAACCGATAGTAAAACACGAGGGCTAGCATGAGAATGATGTTATCCTTCAACTCGTCAATTACCAGGCCGGGCAAATAGCCCCCCCCCCAAAAAAAAAAAAAAAAAAAAAAAAAAAAAATTATACACCGGCTTATTATTTCTGCTCTCGTTTGAAAACATTGGCGAACGAAGACTCGTTTTATTTTACAGTTATCAGTAGAACACAGGCATGAGACGGACCTCTTTTTGCATCGTACGTACCGTTACTACAGCCAGTCACGTGCTTATTGATTATGTACATGTATCAACTATTGTGATTGCACGTTTCCTGCGCTTGTAACATTGTCCCATCAATAATATAACAAATTTTACAAGTCATTTAACTAAATTTTTAGGGTCTACAGAACTAAAACGACGTTCGCGAGATTTGGGATCATTTTTTATTATCTATAGAGTAGTACACGCTGCCCCCCCCCCAAAAAAAGAATATTAAATTTATTAAATCCAATAAAAGTATAGCAAATATCAATTTTAAACACCAGTATGAGTATGATCATTCCCTAAAGTTTCAGTTTTCTTTGTCGCTTTGCATAAATTTTATTCTTTAAAAAAATACGCTCCAAATGGACTCCGAGGCATTGGAGGCACACTTGCATACATCACCCAAAATATCAATTTCTCAAACACATTCCTCCTTCGGGATTTCCCCGATTTTTGCTGTGATTGCATCCTACATTTCACCAATCATTTTAATGTTGTTCTGGTACAAATTATCTTTGAGATAACCCCACAGATAAAAATCTGGGGGGGGGGGGGGGGTCAAATTCGGTGAATGCGGTGCCGACACAAAGTCACACTTTTTGCCGATCAGCCACTGAAATAGCTTTCTCCGTCAGGCAAGAGAGTCATTTGATGTGTGGGGATGTCCCTGTCTTGCTGAAACCACTGTCCATCTTGATCTATCCCTCTAAATCGTCCCAGTGATGTCCAAAGCTTCCTCAGCACTGCCACGTGATCAGCAGGTGTGATGTTGAGTGGGCAACGCATTCGCCGGACTTGAATCCCCTCCCCGTCATTTTTTTTTTCTGTAGGGGTACCTCAAGGATAAAGTGTACCAGAACAACCCTCAGATTGGTGAACTGTGGGGAGCAATTAATGCAAAAATCAGGGAAATCCCGAAGGCAGAGTGTTTGAGAAATTGACAGTTTTTTTAGCGACGTATGCAACTGAGCGTCCAATGCCTCGAAGCTCATTTGGGGCATTTTTTAAAAAAGAACAAAAATTTTATGCAAAGCGACCAAAAAAAAAAAAAAAAATGAAACTTTGGCGAATGATCGAGCACATATTGCAGTTTAATCCAAGCAAAATCCTTGTAATTTGATGGACCTTTGCAGGATTCAATAAAATGCTTATGGGTTTCGTTTTTTCATTTTTATTAATTTTTTTTTTTTTTGGGGGGGGGGGGTAGGGGGAGTCACCCTGTACCTGGCAGTATCTCTCTCTCTCTCTCATGTGATATGGATATATGTCTTTCTTCCATGGATTCTTTGGTCGAACACTGTTTCAGAGTTAGGCAGTTATAAGTATTACATCATAGTATGAATTATTGAATCCATGTAAGGGACACGATAGGCCTATATGACCTGCATAGACGGTTATTATTTTGATACTTCAGGCAAGTATGTACCTACAGTGCACACAGTGTATTGACAATTTACGTCTGTGAATTCTTGATACGTCCACAAACAAATGTTAAAACCATGACCGTCATAGTCGTTTATAGAGTGTATTAGTATATGTATAATGTATACAGTTTTAGCGAGCCCACATGCTTATTTTGCACCGCACTTCGTGTAAGGTATTAAGCACACTTAGTACATGCAGTAAAAGAATTTTGTGTCGTTACCCTAAAATGCGTAGTTTGAGTCGAATGTTCATATCATTGAAATGAATAAATGAAACATGTTCAAAAGAAAATAAAAAATATTATTCTTATTTTTATTTGGTATAAATGTATTCCCACTAGTGTAAACCACAATGAATTTCAAATAAAATAAAGTGCATACCCGATTTTGTTGATTGCGTTCTTCCTGACTGCCACTGATCCTAAGTAATTTGCTCCGTTAAAAAGGAAACCTTTGGTGTCAATTCAATCTANTACGGTAGCTAGGTAAAATTATACCAGGATGGGAACTTTTCCCGGCAAAAACAGGGGTTCTTTCGAACCCCCCCCCAAACCCCCCTGGCTACAAGCCCGTTGTAGTACAATATAACCGTCAGCTTCCATGTTTTGCACAGTTACGTTCCATTTCCAGGTCGACCAAAACGAAATATATGCACTATCAAGTTTACCAAAGGAGAAGAACGTGTTTACAGTGACGAGTTATGAGACACTCCAGGAAATCAAGAATGACCTCGCCATTCGCACTTGCGAAGTTAAATCCCCGGAAATGGAGTGGACAGGTTCGTGCTATGGTGACGTCATATTCAACAGTTTGACATATGTTATTCAACAGTTTCGTCTAAACGACGATTTTCCCATACTTTCCAATGCTGTTGAATCTCTTCCGACATTCTAAGTTGGTCGTTTTTTTGGTGTCGTTTTGGTAATAATTTTTAATGGTACAAGACTCTTTACCCCCGCATTCTTAATTAAGAGTTTATTACGGAGGGTAGCCATCTTTGAAGGTACACTTCGGCGATAACCGTCGTTTTGGTGGTAAAATGGAATTAATTATACTTCCATGCGTTGTGTACAGTGTAGTAAAGTGTGAATTTTGATTCTCAGAGTTGTTTTCCCTTAAAGTGAATTTATTTTCGCCATATTATCTTCAGTGATGCATTTTACCAAATTTAAAATGTATTGTATGATGTTTCTTTTCAGACTGTGGGATAAATAGAACGGTAGATGTCGCCTTCGTGCTGGGAGAGTCCACAACCACTACGCCAGAGTCTACCGCACAGATCCTCGGGTTCGTCCGGAACCTCACGAGTCGATTTACGATCGGAGACGGAAAAATTCGGGTCGCTTTGGTACCGGCTGATTGCAATAACCCAGGGTTCCACCTCAGCAGATTTAATGATAGACAATCAATCTTTTCTCACTTGGATAATTACAGGGTGTGTAGTTCATGATTTCTTTAAAACTGCAGGAACACAGCAGCATGGTCTGTTGTAGTCTGGAAATAGCCTGGTTTACGTCACAAGACAAATAAATTATCCAACGAATCATTTAAAC